GTTTTATATTTTTATAATTAGATTGTGCATTATACATTTACTTTATTTAACATATTTGATATCTGTGTAATGTTTATGTAATGTTTATGTATTATTATTTATGAAATGTCCTACATGTGGATAGGGTTTACAGAATAGAGAACTCTGGGCCAATGCTATAAACAACTGATGGGGAATTAAGAATAGAGAAAAGTAGGTCACAAGAATAAAGAATATAGAATAGTAGGGTGCTAAAATATAAAAAAAAAATAGATATTAATATTGGGCAAAAAGATCGGAAGCATAACATAAAATTACCTTAAAAATAAACAATACAGGATTGATGGACTCCCGATCAAGACCCTTCTATATGAATATATAGAGACATAAAAATGTATTCGGCAAGACTCTCAGACAATCCCGCATGTTACGTTTTAAATGTTGTTCTCATATTCCTTTACACATGTATCCCGAGGATGACTTTTTGGTGCGTAAACGTTTGATAAACTTGTTGTTTATAATCCACGTACAACTGCAAAGTCCTTTTAAAGAAATTATTATTTCGATTTCCAATGATTGACATTTCCGAGTCCATATTTTATGAGCAATTGACGGGTTGATACCACTGCTGGTGGACTATCAGTCCCGTAGGATATCACCAGCTCGGGATTGACATGATTTATAACAAACTTTTCTTTGTGCGTTTATATATTTAGAAACTATTTAGAAAACTCAGGTTTCAACTACCTTATGAAAAGTTGACCTTGCGGTTGCCTATACTTGCTTACATCCACTTCATTTGAACTTTGGTGGAAAGTTGTCTCATTGGCAATCATACCACATCTCCTTATTTTTATACTTATATGTATTTTGCTATTATTTTATGTTCTTTTTGGTCATATAGCCCTTCAAATCTTTCGGTTCTTATACATCCGTGGATTAGAAATATTTGGCTTTGAGTGTTTCTGATGAAGGTAAATCCAGAACATGCTTCGGACGCATGAAATTTATAAAATGTTGTTTTCATTTTTTCCAGCACTGAGTCGATAACGCTACTGGTGGACTAACATTCCCTGAGGGTTTTTATCAGCTCAGTAGTCAGTACTTCGGTACTGACATGATTTATAAGAAACTTTTCTTAAAATATCGCTTATCAATTTAGAACGGTCATATAGCTTTTTAACTGTTTCGGTTCTTATACACTCGTGGGTTTCACATATTAGGCTTTAAATGTTCCTGATTGAGGTACATAAAAAAGAACTTCGGGCGCATGCAATTTTTTAAACTGTTGTTTTCATTTTTTGACGTTGTTGATCATAGTGCCTTCAATCTCTTGTGCACGTTCAGGGTACAATTACACGATTGTTCGTTTAAATTTCACCGGGAAGATTTTAGACCCAAGATGGTAGTAAGAATACAAAACTGTAAGGCTTCTGATTGGATGATATGTTTTTAATTTATTAATTTTATGAAAGATCAACCATTAATGTGCAAACATAATTAAAATTTGGAGTGATTGATATGAAAGTTTCTGTGAAATTGATATTTTAGGGTGACTGAAAATTTTCCTGTCTCATTTAGAAGCGTCCATACAACTGCTATTTAATGCTATTTCCGCTGCATCATCATACTGTTTTTATTTGCTGAAATAAATTCTTATTACGTCTTCTTTTAGAGTCTGGCTTTAGTTTCTATGCAATTTATATACGTGTGTTTATTATAAGGATTCAAACATACAATATAATCTACGGAAAATGCATTGTTAATATTTGCGCAATTGTAACCTTCAGGACATATTGTATCAATAACAAGATACCTCAAATATAAAACCGATCGCTTTATCGGCCGTAAGTAGCATAAAACGGCCGCATAAAACTGTTTTCAAATAGCGAGATTTTTCTAGGAGCGGGATAAAAATAGAAACACAATTTTGTATCTGTTCTATTATAGAAAATGTGAATGTTGGTGTGTTGCCTGGTGAAATTATTTTAAAAATATGCTTGCAAATAAAATAGATTTTAAGAATTTGGGTTTCTCTAGTGTTTTGTGATGCCTTGATATATGGATCACCTGACGTCAGGGATTAGATTTTTCTCAGTCTTTAGCATCACTATCTACCTTAAGGATGATTTGTCAAATTTAACCGAATCAATTCGTAGACTTTATATGGCAGTTATTTCCCCTTTTGAATTTGACATAAGTGATATGTCAATGTATCACATGAATGGCAAGTAATAGAGACCTAAGGTACGTGTATTTGAGGTCCTGGGTTCATAAAAAAAAATTGAGGTTAAGGTCAAAGGTCAAGGTCATGTTCTAAATTTTGACTTTTCATTGTTCCGAGATCTCCTCCGTAACCGTAAAAGAAAGCGACAAATTTATTTTACTAAATTGCTCGTTATATCCTAAGGATGATTTGTCAATTTTAACCGAATCAATTCGTAGACTCCATATGACAGTTATTTCCCCTTTTGAATTTGACATAAGTGATATGACAATGTATCACATGAATGGTAAGTAATACAGACCTAAGGTATGTGTATTTGAGGTCAATGTCAAAGGTCAAGGTCATGTTCTAAATTTTGACTATTCATTGTTCCGAGATCTCGTCTGACAATCTTAGAGATATATTTAAAAGAACTGGAGCAAAATGTTTGCCTCATTGTGATGAAGATATGATACATTTGGTCTGAAACAGTCCCATGACATCTTATAGGAGTTTTTGTCTCTGAAATGATTCAATTTAAGGTTAATTGATTATTTCTCCAACTTGGTACATGATAAAGCCATAGGGTCTTTTGCAAACTGTTGGTTGACATATGACCTTGAAAAATATCAACCGGAAGTGACCTGGAGTAAACCGGAAGTAGCCATTTTTGCACTTATTTCATGGAAAAGTACCTAGAAACTATATGTTTTTTAAATATGCATACATAAACCTATCATTTGAGACCGGAAGTGACCTTCACTAAACCAGAAGTACCTAATATCTCCATTATTACAGGGAAAAGTATAGAAACCATATATATTTGGAATCAGTGTAAATAAAGCTATCATGTGAGACCGGAAGTGACATTTTTAAAACCGGAAGTTGACAATTATCTCCCTTATTTCAGGCAAAAATATATAGAAACATTTATTTATTGAATCGGTATGAAGAAACCTATGCTTGGACGCCAATAGTAACTTTCAGTAAACCGGAAGTAGCTTCTCATCAATAATTTAGAAAATTGATGTGGAAGACCTTTTTTTAATCACTATATATAATTGTTAAAAAATGTAATAAATATAAGCGACATAACTCAAATCTAGATACTATATAACAATGTAGGTAAACACCATATATTTTTCACCGTCTATGGTTGTGCTCTTTGTCACAGGTACCTTATATAATACAATGAAAGAAAAGAAGCCGAAAAAAAAAAAAAAAAAAAAAAATAACCTGGATACTATATTTAAAATCTATATTAAGGAACAGAATGATAAGGTTTGAATAATAATTATATATAGTTGATACATAATAGCTTTTTATCAACATAATGCCCTACTGAAAATGAGTACGGGATTCCACTGGATTTCCAGTGAAATTACACTGGTATTCAGTGGAAAAAAATATTCCGATGGAATCCCATTAGAATTTCATCCAAAACATCTGGAATATTTTTCACACTGTAATTCCAATGGAAAATCAGTGAAATTTCCAATGAAACTTCCAAAGATTTTCCAATTAATTTCCAGTGGAATATTATTGTTTATATTTCAGTGGAGTTTTGATTTAATGCAAATATTCCAGTGGAATTTTGGACTTAGAAATTTAAAGGAATATATACATGATATACTTCTAATTTAAATTTTTCAAATAATTAAGTGCATGATTATTATATAAAGGATTTAATTTGTAACATATAATTTGCTGGCCTGATAAGAAATTAAATATTATAATCATGATAATATATGGGATGTAATGAATATTTCATAAACCTACATATATACATGTATATGAAACATTTGTTCAAAAAATTTTACATGGTTAAATGTAATATGAAATCACTTGCCTAGTAACAAATGAAAATAATCATTTGGTCTGAAAGACCCCCCCCCCCCCCTTACATTTGCCATATAAAATAAGTAAAATGGTAGCTCCTCAGATGTACGGTGAATATAATGCATCACCATATAGCCTATGAGTATGACTCATTGAAAGGATACATTTTAACTATTAAGAAATAAAATTAAATGTGCAATAATCAGATAATATAAATAAAGGAATGAATATTTTATATCAAATTGGGTTGAGAATAAGATTCTGTTTGATTTAACGAACAAAAACAATTAAGATTCTTTTTGAAAAATGTGCATGGCTCTTAAAAGGGCCGTTTTAAACAGATCTGTTGCAGAAATTATCTTCAGACTGTACGAATTGTTAGGATAACTCCGTTTTTTTCTTCAAGTGACCGTACTGGCAACTGCCCTGCACTACAGTCTACATGTATACAATAATATAATTATTTCTCCTTTGACTTCATCATGTTCATTAACTGTTACTGGTCTACTGTTCTTTTGAGAAAAGTAAAGTGAACGGCTTTCATTTTCCACATTGTTCTATAAACTGTTTCGGTATCTTAACTTTGTCGGTGTGATGAATTTTTCATCATTTTCATGTCCTGAACTCGGCACTGGAACTCGGGTCATATAAGTTAATCTATAGAAACATTTCACATATAATCCGCTCCAATCAATTGTACGCTAAATGTCAGTGTTTTGGCATAATTTGAGCAGAAAATTCGTGAAACTGTAGTCTATAATGTTGTTTTTCAACACACATGTTTACATTCATGGAGGCTGCCATTTTTTCTACCAGACTATATATATAACCGCTGATTTGATTGGATAACTCTATTTCCGGGATTTCCGATCGGCCAATCAGATAGTCGTTATCATTAATACACGGAATGTGTTCAAATTTGAAACTAAAAATATTGTACGAGTATGATTGTCCAGCTGTGGTTACATTAATCATGTTAATAATAATTAAAACTCAACAACCTTCGATAAATAAAGAAATAGACATTAAAGGCAGAACATTTAGGTATGACATTAGCTGTTGAACCAGACGATGTGCTGATGTAGGGCAGACGTACAGCAGATACAGGTAATTTTTAAGAGATTTTACATTTGATTTTTACATCATGAATATTTTTAATTAAAATTAAAAAAAGAGATATACACCCCCTTTAGTTTCATTCATGGGATCTGTTAGTTCACACTTTGAGGATGACCATTTGGTGTTCTGAAAAGGGGGAGGTGGGAATGTTTATCAGGTTTTTGAATAAAAAAAAAAAAGGGTGCAAACGTGTAGGGTGCAAACGGACCTAGGGGGCGAACGTGTAGGGTGCGAACGTGTATTGGGCGCGAACGGACCCGATACCTGGGAATGTAATAATAATTGTATTATTCAATATTGAATTACATTGTGTGCCTTCACAATCAAGGAAAGATGTTTACAGTTTACTACACAATGTCAGGCACATTCAACTTTATTTTGTCATGTTCTGATTTGGATGGACATGCAACACAAAAAATCCCTAAAGGAATTAATATTGTGTTTTAGAGTCTTTATACTTAACTGAAAGAAGCTTCTTAATTATATATGTACATTGTATGATAAATATCAGTAATATATGATGCATACAGGTCATGACCAGAATTAAAAATTATTAATAAAATGTTTTTACATTTTTTTTTAGGTTGTCCATATATTAAAAGGGATTGATCATGGTGAAGGTACAAAGCTGCAAAAATGATGACTGTGCATCGATCAATATCCACTCAATAATATGAAAACACGATGAAAACAAACGAACCAGCAGCAGAAAAGAAATTTGAGTATAAGATTATTGAAAGGTACTTATTGAATTATTTTTTCATCCTTCCCACACTTGAAATAATCAAAGCGCGAAAGCGCTGTAAAGGCAGTTAATTACAGGTTGTGTGTATTTTTAGTCCAGTTATATCATTATCTTGCATAGTACAGTGTACTTATCAGAGGTGGCTTTCAGTATTTAAGATTTAGAGTTCTCTAATGATATTGAACAAGTTTTATGAATGTCATATTCTGAGCACTATATGAAGGCGATTGTTCTCACTTGTTTATGAACTAGTGCATTATGTCCAGTTTGTACCTTTTTTATCTATGTTTATAGTCAAATAAGTTATCAAAGGTACCAGGATTATAATTTAATACGCCAGACGCGTGTTTCGTCTACATAAGACTAACCAGTGACGCTCAGATCAAAATAGTAATAAAGCCAAACAAGTACAAAGTTGAAGAGCATTGAGGACCCAAATTCCAAAAAGTTGTGCCAAATACGGCTAAGGTAGTCTTTTCCTTGGATAAGAAAATCCTTAGTTTTTCGAAAAATTCAAAGTTTTGTAACAGGAAATTTATAAAAATGACCATATAATTGATATTCAAATACTGCTTAAAATAGTTAAGCATTTTCTTTTTAGTAATAAGTAAATGTTATCAACTGTATCTTATTCAACTCTGCAATTGTGGTTTATTACTGGTAAGTATGGATGATAGTTGTTTCATTGGCAATCATAACACATCTCCTTATTTATATAATGATCTATATTCAACGACCTCAGGTACAAAAAAAATGTATGTAACTAAACTATGATGGGAAACCTGTGACTTCTTTCTTTTATATAAACTTTTGATTGGTACCACAGAACTATGTACAAATGTAGAATAAATGAACATTGAAACATGTCAACTCTTTCAATGACAATACTTTTTTTAGAAACTATAACTCCAAGCAAAATTATATTTCCAAGCATAAAGTAATTTATGAATGAAAAAAGGAGTTCTTAATTAAGAAATAAACTGATTCGCTGAGTGAAGCTGGATACACCCGCAGAGGTCGAACCCTGAACAGTTGGGGCAAAAATTGACACAATATTCAAGCTTGATACAGGTCTGAATTTGGATTGTAATTAAATATTTGACATATTATAGTTTCTGAATAAATGTAGTCAAAGAACTTGAAATCGGTTATATGAATTGAATTTATATTCAATAAAAGATTTCTTGCTGTTGTGCAATACACTGTGCTGTTGCGCAATACTTAATAAATCTGTTGCCAGACTATAAACAAATAAAGTTCAATTTCTTCTCAATGTCATATTTGAAATTTATGAAAATCAATAGGGAGATTACATCAATAGCTATAAATAATTCACCAAAGTTTCATGTGAACTGCTTAAAGCATTTTTGAGTTGTTGTCCAAAAACTGGAAAATCCCCCCTTTTTTAATGAATAAAACCCCATAACTCAGAAATGTAAAATCTAAAATTTATAAAATTCTAAAGGGAGCTTACGAATTGATAATTTAGTCTTAGATGCAAGATTTTTTTATCAGTTGTTAGTGGCTTTGAACTTCATTTTTTGTAGCTGTCAGTAACTGCGAGTACTCTCAGATCTGTACTTAGTGTCTTTTTGTTGTTTGGATGTACAACTACCCGACCACGTCCACTTGTATTTGTATTTATCCATCTGATGAGTTAAGCCTCTTTCAACTGATTTTTATAGTTCGTTCTTATATTGTACTGTTACACCACTGTCCCAGGTTAGGGGGAGGGTTGGGATCCCGCTAACATGTTTAAGCCCGCCACATTCTGTATGTACATGTATGTGCCTGTCCCAAAGTCAGGAGCCTGTAAAAGTGTAATTCAGTGGTTGTCGTTTGTTTATGTGTTGCATATTTGTTATATTCGTTCATTTTTTGTACATAAATTAGGCCGTTAGTTTTCTTGTTTGAATTGTTTTACATTGTCATTTTTGGGCCTTTTATAGCTGACTGTGCGGTATGGGCTTTGCTCATTGTTGAAGGCCGTACTGGACCTATAGCTGTTAATTTCTGTGTCATTTGGTCTCTTGTGGAGAGTTGTCTCATTGGCAATCATACCACATCTTCTTTTTTATATTTACATCAACAGATATAAAAAATTCACCAAAGTCAAGGTGAGAGAACAAAACTTAGTTGTAAGATCTCTGAAATTTTTTACACGGTACGAGTTTTTCTCATTGTTGGAGATTGTATGGTGACAGTAACACCTGTAACTGCTTAAACCCATTTCTTATGCACTTTAGTTCAATAAACTCACTGAATATCATACCACATCTCCTTATTTTTATATGCATTACAATTTACATGTGCATGTAATTGTAAATATATATATACCAGAACAAAATTCATTGCGTCACTTTTATTTATGCATCCTTGGCATTGGCACAGTACAAGTTCTAAAATTACACAACATAAAACAACTTAATGTTATTTCAGATGAAAGTTTTGTTTCAGTTCCATTCATAGGATTTATTAGAATTTTGTATGTTTTGCCAAGTCCAATAATTCGCTCTATGTGCACGTGTTAATTGGAGACTTTTCTATCCCGTATAAGAGTTTTGGAACTAATTCTGTTTCATTTTTTGAAAAAAGTTAGCAAACAAATCTTGCACATTTAAACCTTTGTCTGCCATCACACTGTCACCTGGATCACATAATTGAACTATTCTACATCTTTCAACTATTTCATAGTCACTGGTACAACCAACATACAATGTACATGTATGCATTAGAGACATAGTTGACTAAACCACCAGGTGTCGAACATTCAAGAATTTTCAGTGTTTCTGTTTTTATATGATGAAAAGGTTGCCTGAGCTCTATGAGCTTTAGGTTTTATCACGGGATATTCTGGTCTGTCAATAATAATCCAAGTCGTAGGTAACTTTAATTTGAAGTTGGATGGTGAAAAATACCTGACTAAACCACTAGATGGCCAAGTGTTAGCCTCACACCACTGTTTAGACATAAAAACAATCCATGTATACACAACATTCTTAACACTAGATTCAATCTAGAATCTAGACAGTTCAAAGTTGGTTGTATAATGCCTCAATTTCATCAAAGTCATAAAAAAACTGATTTTCAACTGACATCCTATCAATTTGAAAATATATGTATCTCAAAGAATGTGCTGCTGGACCAAATGTGGTCAAAACAAATAAATATTTAGTATACAACTCTAAACCGGTATAAAAATGCATGGCTGTGTCACGTGTCTTCATTTAAAAATTCTCTGCTGAAAACATAGGCATTGATGGTGTTTGCGTAATTCCATCTGTGAAGCTCAACATTAGCTCGGCAGTTGGTGGTGGACAGTCATAAATCCTTTCTGCAGTATGAATGACTTTTTCAGGAAAACCAACTTTACAATCAAAACTTTCCTCTAGATTTCTACTACAATATTCATCAAGTTTAGTTCTTTTGTTTTCACAGAAAACTGCCCTGATTTTTCTTTTTGCGGACGATTCAGTCTCTTGCTTGGTCCAGGAAAATAGGCTGGGAATGGCAGTAGACTTAAGTCTCTGTATGGTGGGTTTGCGCCCTGAAAAAGGTTATAAAACATTAGTTTTTTGATAATTAAATGAACTTCCATTAGCAATAAAATTGAGAATGGAAATGGGGAATGTGTCAAAGAGACAACAACCCGACCATAGAGCAGACAACAGCCGAAGGCCACCAATGGGTCTTCAATGCAGCGAGAAACGTAAATGTATACTTTGTACTACCTGGCGAAATATTAACTAGATTTAATCATTACAATCTGGATAAAACTATGTTTGCCTGATTCAATGTATGTTATGTAAATCCAAAGGACAAACAATGAGAGACTTATGGGTTCGTGTTGCTTAGTCTTTAGTTTTCTATGTTGTGTCATCTGTACTATTATTTGTCTGAATTTCTTTTAATTTTGGCCATGACGTTGTCAGTTTGTTTTCGATCTATGAGTTTGACTGTCCCTCTGGTATCTTTCGTCCCTCTTTTATGCAACAAAGGTACATTGTTTGTACCTAAATAACTATAATATGATCTAATATAGATGAGAGCATGTCATTGTTTTGTTCCTGTTAACATTGTCATTGATATTTTTCAAGAAAGTCTATGTGACAAATGGCTACTCAAATTTCACCCGGAAAAATGTAAATATATGAAAATATGTAATAAATCTAATAGCACTGACCAACCATCAAATTATAGTCTTCTAAACCATCCAATAGCACAAGTTACAGAGGAAAAAGATATAGGAGTCCTTATTGACTCAGAACTCACCTTTGAAAATCACATAAGTGAAAAAGTGAACAAGGCCAACTCTATATTTGCAGTTCTTAGAAGAACATTTAAGTACTTGGGAATTGAGACATTCATGCCATTGTACAAAACCATGGTTAGAACCCACCTAGATTATGCCAGCTCAGTCTGGTCCCCATACAGGAAAAAAGATATCGACAAAATAGAAGGTGTCCAAAGAAGGGTAACAAAACAATTACCAGGTCTCAAAGACATGAGCTACCCAGAGCGACTTAAAAAACTAGGCTTACCAACATTATCGTATAGGAGAATAAGAGGGGATATGATTGAAACTTTCAAAACAATGAATGGATACTACGACAAAGAAGTAAGCTCATTTTTAAGAACGGCAGATGATTCTCAACAAAGATTCAGTAGCAGGACCAACAGTAATAAAGTCATTCATCAAAGATTCAAAACAAATATCCGTAAACACTCTTTCTCTGTTAGAATTGCTAAAACCTGGAACAAATTACCAGATAAAATAACAAAGTCACCATCAATAAATGCATTTAAAAACCGATTAGACAAATTTTGGTCAGACGAAGAGATATACTATAATGACTACAGAGCAGAAATATCCGGAAGTCACGGACAAAACAGTAATAGAAAAACATTAAATTATGAGTCTGGTGAAGAGGAACCTTGAGGGGTCCTGTACTGGAAATCAACTATAAGTAACTATAAGTAAGAGGCATAGCTTATGCATTCCTGTCATTACTACATTAGCATAATTACTGCTAAAATAATTCTCAGTATGATATACCTCTTGTAAGAAATCATTATAATTGTAACAATCACCAAAAAATCTCAAACAGATCACATTGAATCGTAATCCAAAAAATTATGACGTCTTGAATTAACCACCCCCTTTTATTCTAAAACGATAATTGCGGTTGTAAACAGACTTTGGTTTATTCGCATGGCGATTACATATTTAACTATATATTTCAAAAAGAAAATAGAGTTTTACCATGAATAGTTTCCTGCACGTAGTCTTTTTCAGTAAAACGTGCCTTGCAAACAACAGCTGATTGAGATGGACTCCACGATTTCATCGTGTTCTCGTCCAATCTGCGTATGGGCTATGGCGTTGATCCAACTTTTCCTTCTTTTTAAGTCATTTGGAAATGCATGTCCTCCTCTTAAATGACATCCATGTACACAACAACAAGTACTTGGCATCGTTAATTAAAAATACAACTGAAATAGTTGCACAGTGCAGAAACCGGATGTTGAGGAACAGGATCCGCTACCACGGCGCCACCTATTCAGGAACGATAATTTGCTACTTTATATACATGTAACAGCGAAATAACAATAACGTTAGACGGGTTCACGTGCATAAACAGAAATGCGCTTTAAATTGTATAATAAAATTCATGTTCGGTCGACCTTTAATTATTATATCAACGACTGAAATGATTTATAAACATATAGATTGCAGATAACACTCGAAATTAACCCGAGCTCTTTCCACACGGAATTCAAATAATTCTAGTTTGTCAATCGGTTGACTGCTTATAATGCAAAATACAAATATATCAAAAGTTTTTAAAACTAACAAAACACAATGATCGTTTCTCTATTTCCCAATGTAAATGAAATGAAACAAAAAACATTTTATATCGCAATAAGAAGAGGAGAGAATTCAACATTTCCGGATCTACTTGGAGCCTAATGACCCCCCACGTAGATAAGTTGGATATCGCGGAAGGAAGTATTAACCCGGCAACCAGAAAGGCATTAAAGCACTGCCTTTAAAAATACATTAATCATGTTAATCTTTCACATCTATAAGCTGTAAACACATCTCAAAAACATTGATCTGATCATCATGCACAATGGTTAATCATGGCTATTATGTGAACAAAATGAGGTGTCTGGTATGCTTCAACCAGATAGTAAACCAACAACAAACACAACACAAAGGGAAAAGATAATATGAGGCTAAATAAAAATATATGCGTGGTTCCAATTACCTTACCTACCTTTTTTTTTAGTCTTAACAATAGCCTACCCTAAAGATTTTTTTGTCATTTTTCAGTAAGTACTGTTTAAGTCAGAATGTTGCTCCCATAGACATGATGGACTCAATGTAAAAAAAAACCATAAAATAAAAAAAAATCTTACCTACCTACCCTAATTTTGTTTTAAATGTAACTGGAACCACACATACTATTTTATTTGGCTTTGAGAGACACCTGATCCATGAACAATAAAAGTCTATTTTGATAAAAAGAGATGTGTGTTATAAGTCTTAAGAGACAGCAACCCAACAACTATAGCCAAAGATATCTAGAGAACACATAGTCTTCAACAATAGACATACATGTGTCTAAATTGCTCTTAGTGTATAAATGTTGTGAATAAATTACACACAAACACAAATAAAATATGCCAGTAACATATATTTTTGAATAATTGCAGACTGGAGCATGGTATTGTAATGTTATTTTAATTCAAAATTCTATGCATGTTATGATGTATGATTTTTTTTCTTTCAGATTAATCAATGAAGACTTAATGGAACAGGATTGGAATGCAGAAACTTTGGACTTAATTCATGAATAATATCAATGGATGATGAAGAAAACTGACCAAACTGACAAAGTATTTCGTATGCATGTAAACTGGACATTTTTGTTTGTTTAATGCACAATAAACAAATTTGTAAAATTGAAAATTAAAACCATTTGTGAAAGATTTCAAGAGGACCAAAAGTTTCCATGGACTTATGAATGATTTAACCAGAAAAATGATTTACATGTAAAATTAAGTAAATACATCTTTGACTAAAAAATGATAATTTATCAACGTTAACATTTTAAAGAGGTTGATCTTTTCGTTTAAAAGGTCTTAAATGTGGATGATGTATAAACTGTTGTAATTTCTTTAATTGTTGACTTGCATTAAAATGGTTATTGTCTTATTTCAAGTTTTCTTATTAATTCATTCAAAAATAAGCAGTGCATGCAAAATGATATCTAACATTTCAGTGGAATTGTCAATTTCCATTGAAATATCACTGGTTTTCTTTGGTTGATTGTTACAATTTCCAATGGAATTACCACTGGTATCCCAGTAGAAAACAATAAATGTCCAGTGGGAAAACAATGGTATTCCAACGAAGTTTTCACTGGTATTCCAATGGAATTTCCACTGTATTCCACTCGAGTATTCACCGGAATCCCACTGGATATTCCACTGATATCCCAATGGAAAACAATGAATGTCCAATGAAAATCCCGACCAAATTTCCCAGTGGTAATACAGTGGTATTCCAATGGAACTCTGATGAAACTCCACTGGTATTTTCAGTGAAATCCCACTTTACATTTTCAGTAGGGTGGTGCAAGCCTTTCATAATATAGTTGAAATACGTAGACGATATGTATAAAATTAGCATAATAACCGAATTTATAAAATATGAATCTTACCTAATGGAGTAAAGTTCCAGAGTTTAAATAACTTCATCTTAATCTAAATAAATTAGTTAAGACTATGTTGGTTGTTCCATGCATTATATTACCTGCAACACAAACTTAGAAATTAGAAATTAATAAATGAATACTAAGATAATATTTTCATCAATTTTAAAGGGAAAAGTTTTTCAGTATGTGAAAAAGTAATTATAGCAAAAATTCAGAACTCCAAGGTAAATTCAGAAATAGGCAGTCCATAAAACCTGACTCATACCAAACGCTCGACTATAACAACAAAAGGAAGTTTTTTACTCGTCCATAATGGTCAACAATCGCCCAAATAATGAATTCGGTACTACCTGAAAACCCTACCACGACGTTACAATACTATCCAATTCAGACAAAGATGACCACACACGGCACATAACTATACCTACAATACTGTATTCTGTATGTTTTACTTGTTTTCTTATCTGCCTGTCTTAGTAAGTTAGTTAAGTTTACTTGATTTGTACTGCTCCCTCCGCTCATGAAAATTAAACCTAGCTGGAATTTTATATGTAAGGCCTTTTTGAGCTTTGTGGTCCAAACGTTTTATGTATTTTACTTTTGGTCTCGGACATATCTCATTTGTACGATTTTTGGTTAAAAATGTGTTTTTTGAGATGTCAAAAAATAAAATTAAGAAAATTCTTATTTTCATAGAATTTGGTGTTTATGAATTCAGAAACATTGTGTCAAAATTCTGACTCATTTGAATCATTTTTTAAAAAGTTACATGCAATTGAAATTTTAACTCAAAAGAAGTTAATGAATGTGGTGCGTTTCCTTTGTTGTTAAGTATATATAAATAAATAGAATATTCCATATTTGTATCACATATTTGTCCCTCCTATCACAAAAGGCACTTGTAAATTGATTAAATTAATATAGCATGTGTCTTAAATAAGTTAAAGAAGATTTACAGTTTAATTATACTATTAAATATTTTCATTTGTAAAGCGAGTGCATATAATTAAGAAAGTCAAAAAGTGACACTACAATAATATTGATGAAAGGAGTCAGTTTACTTTATATATATATATATATATATATATATATATATCTTTATTCTCACAAACCAAATTACAAAGGTATAGAGATAATTATACATATTTCAATACAATTACATAAATAAATAATGTACGAAAGTAGATAGAGGCATTCACAATTCTTCACCCAGAAAAGTTCAATTTGTTATTGATCTCCTTAATAAGTTTACATAGTTCGTTCAGTTCTGTACATTTTTTAGAATTCATTAAGTCGTAAAACTTCAATGTGTTTGGTCTATTTCTATAGTAAAATGCAATACATTGTTATCTACAGTTATCAAAAGCTGAACAATTAAAAATGTAATGGTATTCATCACCAATTGCATCTGAATTACACAATACACATTTTCTGTTTTCTCTTTCTATGTTTTGCCATCTTCCAGTTTCTATTGGAAATTTGACAAAAGTTACATGCATAATCACGCCTTTGGGGTAAGCGGTGACGAAAATCGTTACCTATTTTCGACACCCAGAACATAGTATTCAACTGCCTGCGATGAAATTCAAAATTTTGACCACATTAATGTTTATGTTTCGAGTTTTAAGTTTAAATATCGTTTTTTTTATATTTTTAGATTAGATGAATTTTGAAATCAATAAATAGGCGAATAAAACAGTTTTTTTGGTACAGATGGTCCAATGTAGAAAGTACTATACTGTTTTCAAACCAAGCGTAAGTACATGAATGCCAATTAAGATTAAGATATCGAAGTATTCCTAACACTAAGGATTTTCTGGCCCGATGTATACATATAGATGACCTCAGCCAGGTTTTGCACAACTTCTTGGAATTTCAGGGGTTCAATGTTCCTCAAAATGAAACTGCCTTCCAGCTATTATGATTAGAGCAACAGCGATGAGTCTTATGTAGACGCGATTTGCGTCGGTCGTAACAAATTATAACCCTTTTATCTGAAGGTAAAACTAGAAAAGCGTCTCAACGCACGAAATAAAGAAAGTGGTTTTTTTTATTTGACGAGGTTTTCAAGCCTGACTGCATCTGAAATTTAAAGCAAAACATTTTTTTTAAATGACAGCCTTTCCCACCGAACACAGTATTATATTATGGTTCATCAAATAAAAGAACAAAATGAAAGAAATCATAAAACACCAAAATATTCTTAAAAGTCTATCGCTAAGAAAATGTATTTATCTTTGAAAATTCAAACGTTGAATGAAAATCATGAATTATTACTGGTTAATCTCTTTCGAAGGTACTAGGCTAAAGAACTAGAAATCAATTTTGCGTGGCATTATTGTATTAATTATCGTACGTGTTCTAAAAAAAATATTTTGGAGCTTTCGTGAGATTCCCTTAGGGTGGTCTTTTTAATTTTTAAGGGCCATCCTCGTTATTAGATGTCCAGTATGATTTTTGACGAGTTATGAAGTTGTGGGGTATACAACTAGGCAAAATGACAAAGAAATGGGCACAAGGTGTAATTATTATGACCCATGGTAAAAGATGTCAAAAACAATCCTATTAAGTTAGAAATCATTAGGACGGTTTAGAAGACCTATAAGGTACTGCCATTAATCTGAAATACACAAAAAGTAAACTGCACATGATGATATTTAAGTGTACAAATTATAAAATCAGTCGACAAAGTGGCTTCAGAAAAGCAGTTTGATTCGTACAAAAGCTTTTACTATGCTCCTCAGCGTGACGAAAGAAATAACTTAAAAACTTTAACAAACCTCGTATGATATACGAAATATTCATTAATTTCCTGTTTTTCAATTTTAAATATGAAACATTAGCACCAGGTTTGAATGATCGATAAAACGTCAACCATTTGGTTGAGATTTGATGGTTTACCAGGCGTGATTATGCATGTAACTTTTGTCAATCAATGATTACTGGACCTTTTCAACAACTCACGACACCGACTAATGACACCTACAGTTTACAGGTAAAATGGAAGGGTCGTCTCAAAAATAGAAATCATTCATGAATAGTATTACGTTTACTGTTATACACTATTTTGATGAAAGAACATATTTCAAACAAATATGAATATCTCTCTCAATCATATAATGTTCTTATTACATGTATTTATAAGACATTTCACAACGTTGAATTTATAAATTTCACATCGTGATCTGCTTTATTTCTTCTTAAAATGTATGATTATGAGTATTTAGATAAGAGAGTCTGTCAACGAAGATTGTACCACATGCCAATAGCGATTAATTCATTTTTGTAATGCTCTTTATGAAATTTTTTATGAAGGAACATTGTAACAGGACTGTCCGTCCGTCCGGTAGAATTTGTGTTTCTCAACCGATCGTCACGTCACGTGGTGTACACATTCAATTTTGGGACGGGTAAAAGCCTATCAATTTCAAAGGTCAAAGGAAAAGGCCACATCGAAATATTTAGTTACAAGGGACTACTCCGCTGCAAGATAAATGTACCATGTTAAAGTTGAGGTGTTCCTCTAATGAATTGGAAACATTAACGGTATCATTTTTTTCTGCGCCAGATGCGAGTTTAGGCAATCAATGTCTCTTCAGTGATGCTCGAAGCCAAAATATTTGAAAATATGTAACAATATTCCACCAATACCTTATATCTCAACAGAGCTTGTTGTCATTGCAGAGTCTTTTTGGACAGTGCCGCACTTCTGATCCAAACAGGACTTTTTGGCCAACAGTTAAGGTAATCCTTTAATAAGTTCTATGGTTGTCATCACGAACTGATTGACCGTTATAGGTTGTCAGTGTCCCGAAAGAAAACATACCTTGTCCCTTTGTCATAGATTCCTTTCCCCGTTCCCGAAAATGACCTTCGTGTGTTGTGCAAGAAATAGTAACTGCTTAACCTTTCCCTTTTCTATAATTTGGTTTTCTACTCTTTTCTATTTTTCCCATGCGTAATTGTTTTTAAATTTTATCTCTGACTATACAAAGGGGAGGTATTGGATCCAATTATACTTGTAAAACACCGCCGCATGTTTTAAGCGCCTGAAACAATTCCTGTTGTCGTGTTGGTCATTGATACGTCTTTGTAACAATAGAATTTTACAATTTGATATTTTGACATTATGGTTCGCCTTCATATTTGATTCCTTGTTAGTCGATCAAAGATCGCTACTTTTTTCTTCTTTTTTTTTGGGGAGGGGGGGGGGGGGGGTAAGATGAGGGTATTTAACCAACATGCAGATCATCAGGTTCAGCATTTGGTTGCTGGGCAGCGACGGCACCGTAAGCCGAAAATTTGAATAAAAGAGTCGAAAAATGATTTGCATTGTCGCTGAATATCGAATTCAAGTTGAACATCAAATTGGCGAATTGGAAAGAAATAAAGTAGTGAGTACATTGAGGCGAAGCCAAAATTTAAAGACATTGTAGAAACACGTGCCGGCCTAGGCAACAGACATAAAACATTGTTTAATTTAACATCTACTACAAAAGTACATGTTGGTTTTTTTTTACAATATCCATCTCGACGTCTAAAAAATGAAATTTCGAAGATGTTGGATAGTTGTCTCATTGGCAATCAATATAACCATATGGGATCAATAATTTTTTTTTTCAATTTAAATTTTGAGACGACCTCTCATGTCTCACCTGTCGTAGTCGTTCTCAACTGTAGGTGAAGACAATTGTTGAAAAGGTCTACAAACAATGCAAAAATACCCACTGTCTATATTTAGCTAAGTAGGTGAACCGTTCATTTCAATAGTAACAGCTCACACCATTCGAATTGTATATACAATGACTTGTAGCTTCGTTCATTTTGAACTTTTAACGTTGATAAAAACTTAATATAGTTTTCAAGTTGGAGTGTATGGAACTATTTTATATCACCCTGTATGATGTTCTTTGTAAGTGTGTAGGCATGTTATTTATAGAAAACGGAAAAACGGTCAAGGAGTTAATCAAACGGACGATTTGTAAATAGTATTTTGTTTTGTTAAGGTAAGTACAAATGGTTACATGAAAATATAGATTTTACAATTTCATTGTGTTTTCAATTTGCCGACTTTGTTTCACTTTCCAAGTCAATACCTAACATATGGTTTAACCTTTTAATTTATGTATTTGTCATGGGAAAAAACCGAGATAAATAATGTACGATTAATTCAAATTTCACTTCAACTTCAAAATATATGCACACAAAAATAAATTACTGTTTTAATACACTAGCAGCTATAGAATGTGCGTGTTTGTTTTAAGTTTCCATTTAGATCTTTCGTTTGTAAATTTTACAATGAGAGACTTCTGGCACTAAACTGAACGATTATGGGATTTGAATGACAACACATAGCTGTTCTTTCAATAAACTTTAGTATTCTAAAGGAATGTCCTTCTTATTCCATTTAATAGAAAGAATAAAAATATATTAAAATACGTAAAACATGTAAAACATGTAACTATTGTCTTCTAAGGAGTAAGGTATTTCTAATTTGTTTGATTATTCAGAAATATAATGCTGTACTTTCAAAATATGATATATTGATGTTTCCAATTTGACCAAATAAATCATGTAAAAATGAATAAGATTCTAGTTCCACTGGTTAATCTCGTGTTAAACGGACATGCGTCCGGTGTACCAAATTATAAACCTGATATCTTTGATGATGTTTTCGTTGTAATATATAACGGGTTATATCAACCTTTTCATTCAACTGAACGGATACAAAACGGTCTGATATTGCTTTTGTGAATAAAAAAATTGTTTGAAATGTACATTTTCGACAATTAAGGAAGAATGATCAACAAAGATACCATCCTGTATATTAGAAATTATTGCTAAAATTATGTTCTGACTGAATATGTAAAAAAATTGTTATTTAATATATAGTTCCATTAACAGAGAAGCGACAACGTTGCATCTATACATATGAGAAATATCTTTAAAACAATACAATTTTTTTAATCGCAAAACTGGGAAACAAAAATGTTTGAAATAGTATATAATAATATTCTTTCATTAATATGTCGCCGAAATATTCCTCCACAGACCAGTTGATTAAAATGTATTAGGTATGGTTAGCTTATATATAATTATTCCGGATACACTCATGATCTATTTTCTATGATGACAAATAATGCATTTAAGATACACACATATATTAGAGGAAGGAAGAGTTATTAATGACGTTGCATTTTCGTACAATGAGCCACTTATCATTTTACACCAGCTGAGGGCAGACATGAGCAATCCTGCTAACAGGATCCTACAAGCACATTCCCATGACCTGATTTACATCTGCCTTTACATTCTTCTAGCTGTAACAATGCTAGAGGGACAAATGTTGGTAAAACAGATACACCAATGGCAACCTTTCAGTATCAAATTTATTGACACATGTCTAATTCTTTTTAAAATGATTTTATTTAACTTTTACGCTAGATAACATAAGCATAATTGCAGTAATTATTTGACTTTTCTTATTCATACATTTCTATGGTACACATAAATGTTATACCACATGCAGTGTTTATTCTAAACAGTCATTTTCATAAAACAAGGACAAAATACATATTACAAAAGCTAGTAAATGAAATTAAAGATTATCAAGGCTATTAAAAAGCAAAAGTAATTCTTTAACGTAAAATAAAAATGTACTTGACCTTTGGCTTAAAGATTGAACAATACAGTACAGGTAACAAATAAACAACCAATGATTAAAGCGTTACAGACAAGTATGATCCATCAACCCGTAAAATGAACCTTTTCAACATGAAATTATGTAATAGTATAGTTTGTTAAAGGTATGTTCATTGTTATATAATACCATAAAAAATGCGTTATGAATTTTTATCTTAAGGAGTAAATAACATAAATAATATCAGAAAAAATAATAGAAAGAAAAGAAACACAGAAAAATATAAATATGAAACGACATCTATGGTCAAATTGATATAAAACAGAAATTTTAGCTTCGTGACCATTCAACTTTCCTAAAAGTATTTAAATTGTTTCTAAATGTGGTTGAAATGGGGATTTCATAGAGTGTTCCAGTTTACGTCTTTGATGAGATTTACATTGATCACGACTACTTTCGAAAGCTGTGCTTGTTTCTGTGTTTGTGGGTTTTCAATTAAGGGAATTTCATTTTTCCATTATTCACGACATCAACGAACTTCGATCGCGATGTAAATTTGATACTGAAAGGTGTAGGCAACAGTAGTATACCGCTGTTCAATAGTCATAATTCGATTAAGCAAAAACAAATCCGCGAAACAAACTAAAACCGAGGGAAACACGTCAACTGTAAGAAGAAAACACCTGGAACAACAGAAACACTAAACTACAACAAAAGCAAACGCCTTGGGCCTATATGGGAGTCTCGGGATGAAACCAGGGCCGATTTGTGTTATAATCTATAAACATTGCATACAATTAAAAACTTAACGAACAAATTTACCATTGATGAGTACAAGGATGACAATAAGGGACACAAGAAAGGAAACGAGGTGAATGTATGTAAGTACGAACCAGTACGAAATGAAGAAAAAGAGTCTATTTCAATCGAGAAATTTTACATGATCATCGATTAAATATGTATCGTGCTAACTTCGCCTTTTTGTTTTTTTACGTTATTATTTGTTTGACATGTTTGAAATACAAATGTATACTGTTTTCCTTATACACGGCAACTTAAAAAACTTCTTCAAAGTTGGCTTTAGATGAAATTTGGCTATTTTTATGTCCCTTGATAATAAAGTAGTATATCTTTTCACATGTCTAAGTCTGATACATCCTTGGCTTCTTGTTTTGGATTATAATAATTCTCATTTTGTGATGAACCACACTGATTCTATCCAAAAAAAAAAACACTGAAGATGATATTTTCAAAATGCTTGACTTTTTGATCGACAATATATTTGTTGAGTTTGGAGGATTGATAATTCAACAGACAGTCAATATTCCAATTGGTACTTATTGTGCACCCCTACTGACCGATTTGTTTTTGTACTCGTATGAAGCAGAATTCATTTAGAACCTTTTAAAAGACAATAAGAAAAAGCACCTTGCGAAATTCTTTAATTTTACTTTCAGATATATTGATGATGTCCTATCACTGAATGGCCAATATTTCAGTTAGTACTTGCATCTCAAATATCCCAGTGAACTTGAAATTAAGGATACAACTGATACTAGAAGGACTGCTTCATACCTTGATCTTTTCCTCAATAATGACACGGATGTACGACTTCAGACTAAAATCTATGACAAACGGGATGATTTCAACTTCCCAATTATCAATTTCCCATTTCTCAGCAGTAACATACCTTCTGCCCCGTCGTATGGTGTTTACATATCTCAATTGATACGTTATGTTCGTGCATGTTCACACTATACGGACTGTATATACATGAGTGTGCTCCTTACGCAGAAACTACTTCAACAGAGTTATGAGGAGGAAATCATAAAAATGACACTCCGTAAATTTTATAGACACCATCACGAATTGGTTGATCTATACGATGTGTCTGTGTCTAAACTAACCAACGACATTTTTACCACGTGTTAGATTGTGGTTTACCATCTGCGTCGTCTGGTCTGCTTAGTACCGAACGTGACCTATATTGCTATACGACGTGTATCGGTATTTATATATCAAGCATTCATGTATTTAGTTATGATGTTTCTTTTGTAAGTCCCGTTGGATATTTTGTTATGTCTTATGTGCGTTGTTGGAGACGACGTGGTTCGGTATTTATATATCCCGCTTTCGGGCATTTTGATTTTACTTTCATATACGTTTGGGTCCGATGGGTCATTTTGTGCTGAGTTGTTGTTTGTTTATTTCGTTTGTCGTTTGAATTCTGTATTTTCGGTACATTTCACATATGTCTTATTTTTCAGTATAGTCGAGTTACTCGTGGTTCGTCTACATGGTTTTTGTTTTATGTTGCTTGTTTTCATGTGCGTTTACTGTTTGGTATTACATGATTTGCCTTATATTGCAGTTATTTTTTTTTTATTTTCTTTATGTATGCAAAAGTTAAGATATAAAATCAGCTACTTCATTTATATGATTTTAAGTTTATACATAAAATAACACCATTACAAACTCAGTCCGAATTTTATATTCTTTTACGTGTCTATAAATAAAATAAATCTATTTTATTTTTAGAAATTTACCTGTAATAATATAAACGTCACAAAAAGTACGTCACTTTTTGTGACGTTGATCCATTCATGTGACGAGCAGTTTATTTTGTTTGTGGTGTCCTGGTGTGCTGTCGTAAATTCATGGGAGGTGTCCGTTGTTATTCTGCGGTTTACATGTTGTAATGTACTATTATATTATTCATTTTCATTTATGTATTTCTCTGTGCTGAGTGTTCTTGCGTTTGTTTGTACTGTATTCCTGTCACGTATTGTTGTCATTTTAGCGGTATTTTTAACCATTGCCATATAAGCGGGAGGTTTGACTAGCCATAAAACCAGGCTCAACCCACCATTTTTTCTTAAAATGTCCTGTACCAAGTCAGGAATATGGCAGTTGTTATCTACAGTCCGTTTCTATGTATGTTGGCGTTTGCTTTTGTTGTTGTTCAGTGTTTCTGTTGTTCTGTTGTTTTCCTCTTATAGTTGATGTGTTTCCCTCGGTTTTAGTTTGTTACCCGGATTTGTTTTCGCTTAATCGAATTATGACTATTGAACAGCGGTATACTATTGTTGCCTTTATTTGTTATGTTTTTTGTTTCAACATTCCTAATGAACTGTTCTTTTAATTTCTTGTACTGTCCGTTGAAAAAATTGTCCATGCATAGGATTATCAGGTAGTTCGTACAAGCACCTGCCCTACTGAACTTATCAATCAGGTAAGGTAAGATAAACGGTAAATCAGTTTTAAAAAATGTAATGAACATAATTTGGTGGCAGTGGAAATGACTATGTTGCGAGAATACACATGGACGATTACTTTGTAAATATAAGATTTAAAGTATAATAGAATATTCTATAAACAACTATCCCGTACGTTTGAGTTACTAAATATAATGAATTACTTGTCTTTATTAACTATCGTCTTTTTATTTTGATTATCATATTTTTGATATAGATTATTGTTGTTCCGATCGTTATAATTAATGTGATGTTATTACACTAAATGAAAAATGCATAACAATGATGAAGAAAGAAGAGAAATGCCTATATCCAAGACCTTACTAAAAAGTAAAAATAACAAAAATACCGAACTCCAAGGAAAATTCAAAACGGAAAGTCCCTTATCAAATGGCAAAATCAAAAGCTCAAACACATCAAACGAATAGAAAACAACTGTCATATTCCTGAATTGGTACAGAAATTTCCTTATGTAGAAAATAGTGGCTTGAACCTGGTTTTATATTTAGCTAAACCTCTCACTTGTATGGCAGTCGCGTAAAATATCCATTATATTGACAAAAATGTGTGAACAAAACAAACAGACATAATAAGTAAAAATGTCAAAAATTAGAGTACAGCAGTCAATATGTGTTATAATCTTAATCACTATAAAAAACAAACAAATATGTCAACAAAGAGAAACAAAATGGCATATAGACAAAGCACATAAGCAAAAATGAAAGACAAGAATACAAAAATGACAATAGCACAATAACACAAAGAAGAAGAATTAAGAAGCATTCTGATAACGATCAGTTTATGACAGTGTTGATTTATAGTCTAAGATATATCCTAGCCTGGTCCGAAGATCATAGTGTTATATATTTAACGTATGTCATAAATGATATTTAATGCACTGATTTTGAAATACTTCTGCTTTACACAGTAACTAAAATAAAATATATCTGATTGATTGAATCAATTCAGTATGAGTACAATAAAATTGTCGTTTTCTTATTTATTCATTCCACACGACAAAATAATAAATATAATACACATATGCATTTTAAACGATTAGAAGTAAATATCATATAACAGATATGATTAGTCACGCAAAGTATTGAATAAACAGTAACCATATTTCAGAAGTATAAAGGGAGTATCATCATTTTACGGCAATATTTGTAAGTAATCAACGATTTTCTTACCACATGCATATTATATAAATAAATATTATCCAATAAAGCAATGATTAGAATAATAAGATTGAATAATGCAAAACTAATTGATACCCATGCACCCGTGAAACTAACCTTTTAAACGTGATATTAATTTTGCTTTAAAGTTGACGTATTACATTCTACATTTCACTCATGTATAGCATAATAAATTTAAATGTTTGGGAGAGAAAAAGACATTTGTATACCGGTATCAAAATGTTTAAAGGAGTGACAAGGAATAAAATAAAGTGGACAAGTTCATAAAGTATTTCGAAATATATCACAGATCATGTATTTTTTATCATTCATTGGTTGTGCGTGAATGATTGTGCTAGTGTAGAAGATATTTTCATTTTACACTTATCAGGAAACTGAGGAGCATATCATCTTTAATATCTATGTTTCTCAAAATAGAATGCTGAGTTCAGAAATTGAGATATGTTGTTTTAATAGCCTACATCGGAAACAAACCAAAAGCAAAAGTATTTCAGAGTAGATAGATAAGAAAAATGGAGAGAAAACAGAAAAGAAACGAGGTAAATTAGACACATGACATTTTGTTTTGATGGGGAAAAGACTTCATGTTGAATTAAGATTCCCCCACATGAATGGATTATTACAACAGTTCTACATATACACTTTAAAAGACAAGTAAGCAGCAAAAGACACCAAAGGGACAATAACAAATCATAAGTCGCAGAAAAACATCAAAATCATTTCGAAAAGAGTAACGACCGTCTCTAAAACATAATACAAAAGACTCAAGACTGAGCAAGACAAACTCCAACAAAAATGAGATACTGGGAGAATCTGTGCACATTATTGTCTATCGTCTTGGAAAGTCAAAATATTTTCCGGAAAAATAGATAGATGTCAATTCACTGTGAAATAAATCAAGTAAACTTTGCATATATAAAACAAAACATCTCCCATATTATAATGCACTCATTTTATTCCTCCAATCACATTCCCTAAATTCCCTAAATTCATAAGATATTAACTGCTGAAGCTTTGCAACCCGACATACTTTAAAATTCGAAATTCAATGCATGACTTTTATATCGGAATTATACTGGGTAGAAAATACAACAACAAAAACATGTCAATCATTGCGATTGTAGTACATGCTGTAATGGAAAAAAAAACTCATTGTTGACGGTCGTTCGGTGACCTACAAAACAAATGTATAGTTGCACACTTCTACGCCATTTGGTCTTTGTTTGAGAGTTGTTTCATTGGCAATCGTACCACCTTTTCTTATTTGTATATCAAATGAAAAAAAACATTAAGTTTTCCAGCAATACAGTCTTACCCTGTAAGATTTTGTCCATGTTCATTGTCAAAGCCTTTACAGGCACAGTGTTGTTCAACTGTTCATTACAATGCTTTATGTGTTTGTTTATAACTATGCAAAACTGCATAACTTATTTACTTTCAAATACCTATTGTCACAAACAATTAAGAGAGACAGCTACACCATTAGCTTATAACATGATATGTTTTTTCAAACTAGTATTTTAGAAAATCTAAGTATAAATTTAATGGGATACTGAGTTTTTCGCAAAAGACATCAATATATTTAATCAACATGTCATCTGTTCTTCTTTAGACATTGTAAATCGGCATGATCTTTAAATCTAGCTACTGACTGTACTGCTGTTCCACATGCATATCCGAGAGTCAATTTGGTCAATTTAACTCAACTAAATCTATAGTCAACGGTTAAATATTTTGAGCATAAAGCTTCAGGTTTCAGTCTCACTCTGTATAACTTCTGAGATAAATCGCATAGTATCTTCACTGGTAAAAATACCTCAAATCCACCGTGACAATACCGAGGTTTTCAGAGAGCTACTATTCTTAAAGACACCAGATGTCCTGGATAATATTTAAAATCTAACACGAAAGCATCCATCTCTATTTCGATTATAACAGGGTTTTGTAGGAGCCGCCAATATTATAATTCGAATGTACCAAGTACATCTGTCCTTGTTGCTTTGAAAATATGCAACCTTTGATTTTCAAATTTGCTTTTTCTTAAATCGATATAATTGCAGAAACTATTGAAGGCAGCAGAAGACGGGGATTTAGAAAGAGTAAAAAATTTAGTTCGGCATGGAGCTGATATAAATTATAAGGACACATTTGGGGTAAGAATATTCATACGATTCTTAAATGTTGATATTTATAATTAATATTGAAATTTTGGCAGTTATTATATCAGTACTGTGCTTCCAATATTTGCTAACGTAGATAATCCTCACTTCATTTAATAATAAATAAAGAAAAAGACTTATCGATTGTCCAAGTCGACTTGTCATGTGGATAACCCATTTAAGACGTCAGATGGTATAATAATTTATCGTCCGTAAGTTTGTCATTTAAAGAGGTATCACGCATTTATTTGACTTTTCAAGGGTGCAGGGGGGCTCTTAGTTCCAGATCACACCATTCGTTCGATGGACGGACTTTCGTTAATGCTTTAATCTTAATAATTACATTTTGATTTTAAATTGATAGTTTCTAAAAAGATTGTTGAAAAACCCAGTTTCAGCTTTCTCAGTCAAGGTTGACTTTAAGATGCTCCTGTGAATTGTGCTGATTCTAAGTTAAACGTTTGATGTAATAGTTACCTGCATAGCTTTTGGTCTAAATTGTAACTTATGACGTCAAGTCAAGTGCGATTAACAGGATGTCGTTACGTTATATTACGTCATTGAAGATGGAAATAAAATGGAATAAATTTGCCATTGCAGAGTCGAAAATTTACCCCTTTCACTGTCTGAAGATATAATGATTTGAAAAATATTCACTGTTTGTTTTTTTCATAGTATGTTTATACGGCACCGGTTGAAAAAAAACCCAATAATTAGTACTTAATGTAGTATTTGTTATTTTTTCAATGATTTCATGACCAGTGTGAAAGAACAATTGATTGTGACTATGTATAGAACATGAACTAGTTATAACAAAATTTGAAAATAATTTTTGTTAGAAGTTTAATTAAGTTATTCGATATTTTCCCACAATATCGTAGAAGATGTAGATCTCAAGGCTCACGTTTAAAAGAAAGGTATGGTAGTGACAAACGAATACCGTTAAAGGTTGATTATTGAAATTTGAACTAAAAACGTAACTATTCAATAATAGTGAAAGTCAGATTATTTGTGATTATCGAACTCTAGTTTCAACTTGAATGCCATTTTATTCTCCTATTAAAAAAAAATCGCAAACTTATGTCAGAAATCATAGAAATACAATTAAATCAAGGTATTTATGTCACATGTATGTAAATATTTGTACATTAATGCATCATTATTCTTAAAGAGTTTTACGGCCCTCCACTGTGCAGCAAAAGAAGGTAATGTAGAGATTATCAACTACCTAGCAGATAATGAAGCAGACATGAACTGCCGCAACAACAGGGTATGCATATGATACAGTAAGACGACAAATGTATGGATACGTTTACATAAAAAAATGATAATGTAAATGGTGTAAACCCTTTATTACTATGCTGATTCTTTCTGGTTATTATTTGGAGTCAGAATGGTTTTTTCTCTCTCTTTCTCTCAATCAACTAAAAATATTCTAAAAACAAGACATACATGAGATCATTTAGACTCAGTGTAGTGTAAATGATATAAAATAAGGAGCTGTGGTATTATTGCCGATAAGACAACTATCTATCAAAGTCCATTTGTGTGATGAAATAGAAACCAAACATATGAGTATTATTAGATCGATTTTAAAACTGATTAATTTAGTTTAAGCAAATGCTGATACTTATGGATTTGGCTATTATTTCTAGGTCCTTGTAAGTCATATAGCTATTCAACTGTTTCGGTTCTTATGCATCCTTGGCTTTCAGATATTTAGCTTTGAGCGTTGCTGATGATGGTAAATCCGGATCTATCTACTTCCTGGTATGCATGAAAACATTGTTTATTACATGCAGCTAAATGTTGTTTTTTTTATCTACAACAATACAATTTCAACCTGTTTCCATAAAGTGCATGTTGGTCTGATAATCGAGGTTTACATGATCTTTTGTAATCAACTTCACCTATCATATAATCATTCCCGAAAATAAATGCAGTTGTGCACCTCACCGTATGTAGATGTTTTTTTTAAGATCCCATCATTCTTCATATATTTCATATATTAAAATGATCATCATAGACTATTCTCTATTATTAAAAAATATTCTGTGCAACCCAACCATTCAGTTTTTGATCCGTTTTTAGTATATTTTATTGTCTCCTATAGGAAAGAACACCTCTTCATTTGTCCGTGTACAAAGGTCAGCTAGAAGCTTCAAAAGTATTGATAAATAGAGGCACTAACGTTAACGCTGTTAACAAATTTGTGAGTTGATTTTAATGCGATAGATCAGATTTTTAAACAAATAAATAGAAATTACCTTTAACATATATTTTTACAAAAAGATTTAGGAATGCTTCCTTGGTAAATTAGATTTATGAATTGCATGAGGTAATTAGAATATTCAAATATAGCTATTTATTTGCTAAGTTGAGCTCTATGCGTTAATGGAAATGACTTTGCAGATAATTCATACTAATGATGTAAGCAATTAAGATTTACTGACGTCACTCCCTCGTATCTCAACACGAGACTTGTATCTCCATTTTTAATTTATAACCTATTATGCTTTACTATTGTCCGTTCGTCCGGTCGCCCAATCAAGCCGGGTAATTTCCATAATTTGCAAGAAAAAATATATTAATATAGCACAAAATGTTTGGCATTATGACGAAAAAGATTAATGATTTTATGAAAATAAAATATTTCAAACAACTAGTAACGTATGACATAATCTAGAGCAAACGCTAGTTGAAAAGTACGACCAATTTCAAAGATTAAAGATAAAGGAACGTAGTTGTTAACGTCATCGCCATTTGGTCTCTTGTGGCGAGTTCTCTTTTTGGCATTCATACCACATCTTCTTGTCTTATATTAAATAAAATGAGTAAAACTAGAATATCAAAACGTTCGGTATAAATAACATAGTAATACCTCCAAAACTGGTATTTATGTTTACAAAACGTAACATGCTTTATGAATGGAAAGAACAGTTAGTAAGTGTTATCCAACATTCCAAATATAAAGAACGATACAAAATCTAAATGTTTTGGAACGTATGATAATGATTACATCGCGCACAAAACGTGATCAGGGATGAACTCCAGCAGGAGTGCTCTAGATAACAAATCATTAAGGAGTCAAATTCATAAAAATGTTTGTTGGAGCACAGATAAAGAAATAAATAGAACACAAAAATTTCGGGTGATTTCAACAACTGTCATACAAGTTGGAGGTTTAGCTAGTTATAACACCAGGTTTAAACCCTCATTTTCTTAGGAAAAATGCTGGTACCAAGTCTAAATATGACAGTTGTTTTCCGTGCACTCCGTTGGTTAATATACAATTATGTCCCGTGCCTGAGAGAGATATGAAGATATGTTCAACCAAGAAAATTTATATTTCACGAGGGCATCGCCCGAGGGAAATATGACCTTTGGAGGGTGAACCAATCTTGTTTTCACCCGAAGCCAAGGGAAATGAATGTTTTATTCCACTGCCTATAATATTTTTTACTTCCTGATTATAAGATATTAATTTACATATGTTTTTCTTATCAGCTTGTTTTTATAACTAAACACGACATAAACAATGATAATCAGTACCGATCAAAAGTTAATTTCTTCTTCTTTGGATCTAAAATAATTTTTAAAACGAAATTATTATACTATTTCTATTAACATAAAAGTTCAATACGTTATAAATATCAACCACGCGTAAGTTTTGTTCAACGTCACGTGGGATAGTCTCAACCAATCAAACGTTGATTTTGCTATCAACAAATGATCAATATTAACATGCAGTGGAATAATAACATTTGATTTTTTTCAGTTTGTATAGACTTCCCCTTTTTGAATTGATATTGGAGTTCAGAATTTTATTTATAGTCTTTTGCTTGACTGATCTACAATCTTAGTTTCCGGATATTTGCATATTAAATGCTATGTTTTGTTTTCTTCTGCCGTCATGCAATTTTGTAATGCTACTTCTATGGCATAAAATGCGAGGACATTGAGGTACATGCGTTTTATTCAGTATTGAACATATTCTAATGAACTGAATGATCATGCAGATATATCATGCATGAGGTAACATTTGAGATGTCAGATTTGTATGTAGGGAAATGACGCATACAGATCCTCATGACATTTTAAAAAGTAACTACCTGCAGTGCTAATTTTTTATTTGTTCCATAATTCTAGGGATGTACTGCATTACATATGGCTGGTTACTGGGTTGAATCGGTCGAGGTATCCAAAATGTTGGTCGAAAATGGAGCTAGTGTAAATCTTAAAGACAATGACGTAAGATCCTTTTCGTATTAGTTCCAAATAGCAAAACTGTGTCTTTTATGTTTCATAAATGACAAGTATCGGTGTCACACTAACACAATGCACGTTGCGTTACCGTAGCATTTGAGTTTACCCAATATCTCTTTTTGATCAGATGTATTAGCTGATGTATCTTAAAATGTAAGAAGGTTCTTTCTTTGGTTTCAAGATTTTATAATGTCTGTTATTGTTTATACATTTCATAAAAAATTGAAAACAACACGTTTAATAATTTATGCGTCCGAAGCGCTTTTCTGGATTAACCTTCATCAGGAACGCTCAAAGCCAAATATTTGAAAGCCGAGGATGTATAAGTACCGAAACAGTTGAAGAGCTATATGACAAAAAATACCAAAAAAAAAAAGCCAAATCCATCTAAGGTCAACTTTGCCTGAGGGAGTTGAAACCTTAGTTTCTTTAAAATTTTAAAATTTATAAACGGACAAATTTCATAACTGGCATATGAATAATACGAGATGAAGGTTATACGTAAATGAGACAATAACTCTTCGACACAAATATTTAATAAGACGGATCGCAATTGTCTTAAACAATATACAGTTTTCGTTATGATACTTGGTGTACTCCAAAATATAAACCATGAAACTCTTATCAATGTTTCGCCATAGAACACAATATTTCCAAATAACAAAGCAAAAAACCAAAACATTTAAAAAAGACAACAACCTAGTGCGTTTTTTAGTGTGACAAGGCAAATGAACATGGATAAAAAAAACTGCTTTTTTAGATCTCAATCATCCTTCTTTTTAATCGTGCTCAGTTGACCACTGGTACATGGTACATGGTAAACTTACCACAAAAATAAAAGAGAAACAGTAATACCGTACTAACGGTATAATAGATAACAAAATCACAACAAACAAACACAACATAAATAAGCAAAAGCTTCTATGAGAAAGCTGATTGTTACCGAAGGCATGCCAATGTGCTAAATATGCAAAAAGCAAATCACACATAATCAGCACAGGAAGACATGACCTTGTGCAATGCCTGCACATAATTGCAATGCTAGAAAGGAAATGGATCATAACAGTCGTGTTTCAAATTATAAATTAACGAATTAGTGGTATACAAAAATACTAGACTTAACGTTGGACCGATAACAGAATATTTATAAACTTAATCTAAAGGTAAAATGTGCAAAATAAAGGATTCAAATGGTATGTTTAACAATTGCAAGCTTTTAAAATGACATTAATGTAGTAGTTTGATGTGGAATACCTCTTTTTATTCAGTTACTGCTGTTGGAACTATACTTCCATCATAATTTTGTATTTTTAAGAAAAAATTTTTTTAAAATGAATACATATTATGTCCAATGAAATATGCAATCACTGCAAATAAGCGCATATCAAACAAAATCAGAATTTAATGTAAACTCCGTGAAAATGCGTCAGGAAACACAGTTATCAAGCAATGGCTATTAAAAATTAGCGAATCCCATTTATCACACTTTTCTATATAGAGATTGGTCAGTAATAGCATTTGGTTTAGTTAAGGTGATTTGTGATTGATAAGTTTCAATTGTCTAACAGCTTTAAAAATTCTAAACCGTGTCAAAAGGTGTGAAATAAGAAAATTAGTGTTTATTTTCTCAGGGGATAACACCAGTTGAAATAGCAGCAAAGGGTCAAAATACAGATGTGTTTGAATACTTAAAAGTAAGTAGGTTAATTCTTATTAAGTATTGACACAGTTTCCATTCGACTAATGTGCATTTCTCCCCCATAATAAATTTAAATGAATTGCCGTTAGGAAGTACATGTATTATACGTAAGTTGAGTGTGCAATAAAAATTTGCGAATGATGAAGAAGGCATTAACATTTGAAGTTCAAGTGCAAATGTATGAAAATGAAAATAACACTTTATCAATTTCGTTCTTTCGGTTATTAGAATACTAACGGAAAGAGAACATTTTTTTACATTGCTGAACTACCATTTCAAGACCGTTGTGTCATATATGAAGAGCTTAATACGATCACACTTTTGGTCAACTGTTCTTATGACCCGAGTAAATGATGCATAAAAAAGGAGCAACATGATTCGCTTAAATGCTCAACAGTGCAACAATGCCCATCAACCATTAACACTTTGATAACACGTTTCAATTGTACTTGAAAGAAGGACGAAAGATACCAGAGGGACGGTCAAACTCATAGATCGAAAACAAACTGACAACGCCATGGCCAAAAATAAAAAGACAAACAGACAAATAATAGTACAGATGAAACAACATAGAAAACTAAAGACTAAGCAACACGAACCCCACCAAAAACTGGGGTGATCTCAGGTGCTCCGGAAGGGTAAGCAGATCCTGCTCCACGTGTGGCACCCGTCGTGTTGCTTATGTTATTACAAATCCGGTAAATAGTCTAATTCGGTAGGTCACATTCGTGAAAAGGGAAGGGTATTGTAATAATTGACAGATGCTTTAATAGTCAAATGTATTGATTTGATTGTACAGTCACCCGTGGAAAATTTAAATCTACGAGTCTGTAACCAATGGAAGCCGCCATTTCGAATTCCAGAATTTACTATACGCAATTTCACCAATAATTCACTAAATAATCACAGTTCTCCCTAAAAGTTTCCAATTGTCAAATTTGGTCAATTGCTGATGCATTTACAAAGTCATAAAAACGTCTTCTGTTCATTTTTCACACAGGAAATATAGCTATGACATCAGACAGATGCAAATAGTAAATAATGGCTTTTCGTGGAATTTCTGATTTATGAGCTTTTTACATCCACATTATATGCTTGAAAGAATAGTCTACGAAACACGTACGTTATGCGTGTATGGTTTACGTCGTCTAGCCTTTGAATACAATACAAATATCTCATAATCCTAACTACGAAGGCTAAAAGTGATGGAAGATCTGTCAATCAATTCATTTTTGAACTAAACCTCCTTAATCATATATCCTATAAAGAGTTGCAAATAGTACAATCACACAGATTGATATATAAACAATGCTATTTCTAATGGGACTATATTTAGTTTAGTATCAAATTATCCTTTAAGATTAAAATTAAAGTAATTGGTCATTTAAAAATTATAAACTATAGCAATATAATTATTAGAAATAAATCTTTGTAGAATTGCAGAGATCAAGGACATCGTAAGTATATACATATATTTTACATAAAGTTATGAGAGTAACTCTTCACAAATTTCGTGTGTCCCTAGCGCTTTTCTGGATTGATCAGGATCGCTCAAATGTAAACATAAGAAACCAGGGATGCAAACATTCGCTGAAACGTTCAAAGTTACATGACAAAAAGAATTGCCAAATACGTGTGAGTTTATCTTTACCTGAGTGAGTTGGTACCTCAGTTTCTTCATAATTTTAATTTTTTTCAACGTGCATTATTGATATAAAAGATATTTTATTAAACATGTCAGTACCGAAGCACTGACTACTAACTTTGGAGACAAACAGTCCACCAGCAATGGTATAATCCTAGTGCCAGTGAATGAAAATAACGCTTTATTTCATTCGTACTTACATAATTTTGGATTTAAAGTTTTTAATTTATAATTTATACAGAGATAGAAAATGATTTAGAAAGATTCAAAATGAAAACGGAGGAAGATTTTCAAAGTATAGTATCTCAAGGTTCTTACCAGTCACACGAAAACAGAATTTATTTGGGTATGTAAAATGAAGGTCGTTTATCTTATCAATAGACACATTTTGTGTTTGTTTTATGATTTATAGTTATAAATTGCTCATGAGCCATCGGATTCAGGTCTAAATATATCTTAAAGTCAGAATGTCAACGTATATCAGACATACCATGCTACAACATCGGTAAAAAGACCAGCTACAAAAATAATAAAAAAATAATTGATGTCGTTCACATCATTTCCCGCAAGTTACCCTTTAAAAGTTTGTCCTAACTTTACATATTTCTGAAACTGTCAACAAAATCAATGCTGATCTAAACTTAGATCCATTGGTGTACTGGACATGGATTTAAACCCGAAATGTATACTTTTGACAAACATGGTTCAATCTCTTCATTATAATCATACCTTTATATTAAAACTAATTTAACAGCAACAATTGTCAATAATCTTAATTCTCAAGAACTTTTACCTAGACTTTTTCTCTATCTAAAATCACGATGCAAACTAATACTTCTAACTGTGAATTACTGCCTTTTTTTCCTTAAAATGTCCTGTACCAAGTCAGGAATATGGCAGTTATTAGCAAATAGTCGGTTTCTATGTATGTTGGCGTTTGTTTTTGTAGCAGTTCAGTGTTTCTGTTGTTCCTTTGTTATCCTCTTATACATGTTATAGTTGATGTGTTTCCCTCTGTCTTGGTTTGTGACCCGGATTTGTTTTCTTTAATCGATTTATGACTATTGAACAGCAGTATACTACTGTTGCCTTTATTTAGACGGTTTGTGTTAAGTTTTTTTTTTGCGTTAAGGTGCAAAATTCGTTTTATTAGACTCCCAATAACAAATACTCGTTGGAGTCGATTTTTATTCATTTCGTTGTGCAATTCTTTGATATTCATACTAGTGTAACAGCAGGAAATAAACAACCACGTATTTTTTATTGACCAGTTGGACCTTACAATGTTGGTAAGACTACTATTGCAGCAGTGCTAGTAAATGATGAAATTCCAAAAGAAAGATGTCCGACAAATGGAATATGGGTTCATCTAAGGAGAGCAGGAATGAACATTGAAAAGAGAGAATGGGTATTTTATAAATCAGGTGAATAATGTTGAACATGAACATCAGACAAAACTTAAGTTAGTGCCCTTACGTTGTCATTGGTTCGAATCTATCTTTATATTGTTATGACGCATATGCATGGAATGCTTAGATAAAAACAAAAGAAAAAAAAATAACTCACATTTTAAGTGTATTATAAAATCGTTGAAATAAGTTCTATTCAAACCTGTTTTTTACTATTATATTTATCTTCCCAACGGATGTATGAGATTTGAATATTGGTAAACTACTGTTGTCCCTTATTAAGATAGTTTTCACGTTGCTACATGTTGTACTTGGTAATGTTCAGAAGTCATAACACATTTATAATCAGATTTAAAATGTGACATTATTGTAAACGATATCGAATATACAAAACTGACGCTATACGTAAATGGTGAATCGAATAAAGTAATACCAATGACGTACAATTAGTTTCTCTGTCATGAATCCATTATTTGTCTCATGTATTAAAACAACACAAATTTAGAATTGGCGAATTTGTCATGGCTTTAATTTTACAACAACATCATAACAACAATCAGCTTTTCAGAGGCCAAAGAATGAATCATTCAATGACAATATAATTATGTTTTTCTTTAATTCAGTAAAAGGCAACCAGCACCGAAGAGGTGGTAACTGGGCTTCCGACACCTAAATAAGATAAATTCCGCCATACACATTGATTGGTCATAAATGTTGGATAATAACACCATCCACCAAATGTCATAATGTATCAAAATATTATTCTTTAAAGCCATGAAGATTCGGCGAAGACTGCGTATATCATCTGTAATTATAAAAATATCAGCAGCAAACAAATATTTTTTGGGGTAGGGTGTGGTGGGTTATTTTGTCCTTGCACTCCGTCTAAAGTTTGTTAAACAATGAAACAACATATTTGAAACAACTGGTTTATTATTGTTTAAATTTCCGCCTTTTGATGCACAAGCTCATTGCGTATCGCTTATGTACAGAAAAATATATATCATACAACCGGTTTAATATGTCGCTTGCAACAATCAAAACATAAAAAGGGAGATAAATCTAATTTGTATCGTTTCAATAAATAAATTTAATTCATATTGATTAAATTTCATTAATTAACAAATTACTTTCTAGTTCTAATATTTGTCGGGTTCGTGTTGCGCAGTCTTTAGTATTCTATGTTGTGTTTTGTTTATGTTTTTTGCGTTTTGGTCTCTTTTTTTGTGCAATGTCGTTGTCAGTTTATTTTAGGCTTATGAGTTTAAATGTCACTATGGTATCTTTCATATCTCTTTTTTATTAGTAAATTTACGAACGCAATTGATTGAAAATTTGTATTGTGCCGTTTCGTACGTTATGGAAGATTTAAATGTATGTCAATTCTTACCATATGGAACATGAACTGTTCTGTAACATTATTAATACATGTCGCCTGTAATTTTCGTTTGTGCTTATATGATTACTCATCATTTCGGCTTGCTCTTTTGGTAGTTAGTAATTTGTTTAAATGAAACAGCAAAAGCAAGGTATTTGATTTCTTTTTTTTACTTTTATTTGATACCAAAATTACCAAAATATTCTACATATTTTGAAAGATAAACCTATGCGTAGGAACTTTTTTGTATGAAATATATACAACATTTTTTAGAAAGTTCTTTCTGACCGGGCTTGGATTGTAGGTGTTACACTACAACAAATGAAAACAACACTTTATAAATTTTATATGTCCGAAGTGCTTTTCGGGATTTACCTTTGTCAGGAACGCTGAAAGCTGAATATTTGAAGGCAATGGATGTATCAGAACTGCTGAAACAGTTGAAAAGCTATATGACCAAAAAGGACATAATAAATGTAATGCCAATTTGCAAGAGGGAGTATAAACATTAGCTTTTTAATAGTTCCTAATCTTTAAACGGACAGTTTTAGAAATCTTTGTTATAAATCATGTCAATACCAAAATACTGACTACCGAGCTGATGATACCCTCGGGTACTGATAGTCAACCAGGTGAAAAGTCTTATATAAAATGCAATTTCATGAATTCTTCTTCAGTGAATATCAGCTAGTGTGTCCCTTTTCACAGCATTTTCACAAACAACTGTTATGACTATAAAAACAGTTATAGATAAATACTCATTTGTTGGTTAAGAAACTGATATTTTTAGAGTTGAAAAAATAACTAAAAATGAAATCCTGCACGCATACAAAGAGAAACTAAAACTTAATGTGCAGTTTTGTCACGTTCTGCTTAATTAAACCAATTATAGGTCTTTAGACAGGTGTACTGCTGGAAGCTTTGAACATCTTATATTATTATTATCTTTTTTTGTTTATCAAAACCATATCAAAAACATATTTACCTTGTTGAATGGACCAGTAATACATCGAAAGTAAAACATTGAAAAATCAACTTATTTAAGGGACTTTAAAGGATCTTTTCTATATTGTATTATAAATTTGTGTTATACAAAATAATCAACATGACAAATACCGATACTAGTACACACTTTCAATCATTTACAAATACATATTACGAAATAGGAAACATGCTTTTAATAAATATGATATGAAATCGTATATGGTGTTGGCTCATATAGTTCGAAATAGATTGATCAGGGATACACAATGATAAACCTTGTGTACAAAATGGCAAACTTTGCGTACGAAATGGTGATTTTGAGTACAAAATGGAAACGGCACGAAATAGGTATGGTACGAAATGACTAGATTCCTACCATACCGATCCCTTTATCACATCAGGACTCTCCTATAAGCCCAAAGCACTAGTCGATGATCTGATATGGGTCGAGCAATGATACCCAAACCGATACGAAAATGGCCATTTATTAATATTTAAAAATAAGGAGATGTTTTATGATTGCCAATAAAACATCTATCCACCATTTTTCAAATGAAGTGGATGTGAGCAGTTATAAGCAACCGTACGGCCTTAGTTTAAACATATTTATTCGTCATCATTACAAATATATCATCATACAAAATACATAATTATAATAGGATTCGGAAACAAGCTGTACATAGCTAATATTAATCCGTTTCCCTGAAATACGACCTTAAACAATCATAAAAATCCATATCGTATAGTCGGCTATAAAAGGCCCCAACATGAAAAATATGAACAATAGAATTGAGAAAAACTAACGGCTTAATTAAAAAAAAAAAACGATTTACGAAAAACAAATATGACAGACATTAACCAACGACAACCACAGAACTACAGGCTCCTGAGTTGGGACAGTCACATATAGAATGTGAACAGGTTAAACATGTTTGAAGGTGCCAACCCTACCTCTAACCTTGGATACTAGTACGTTTATCATGAACTTTCAATGTACGAACGCACACATGATGATAAACCTATATCAATCCAACTACCTGATGTCAGATTAATTTTATAAATGTCATTCAACTCCGATTTGACAACACAGGCAAAACTGGTAACAATGTTTGCTATGTTTATAATAAATCCTTTTAAACCATATCGCAATCATCATGAATGCCTTGTAAAATAATACTACGCATCACCGGTGCACTTTAAATGTTGTTCGTGTTGTTTTGTTTTCAGTATCGAATCATGTTGTAAAGCTGCTTTTGTAAGTAGCTGTTGAATGCATGGCCCCTTTTGGCTAAGTTACAGTCGTTCCTTTGATTTGATTGATCGTTATGGAATATCGTTTGTGACATCAACAATGTTTTATTTGCTAAGATCTACACGACGTATGCCATTATAATGAATGGAATTACTTATTTTTTGGGCTTCACCCCTGACGATAAAATCGTCTGGTTTTTGCACAGCAATATCAGTTTTCTGAGTTGCTGTTTTCGAACCATTGTTTGTCTTGTCGTCGTATTCTATTTTGGCCATGGTTCTGTCTGGTTTTTTTTATAATGATTTTTAATTGTCTAATTAATTTATATGAGTGTTTCTTATGCAGAAATTTCTAAATCGAGTTCTGTATTGGAAGGATTCCTGATGTCTGTTAATTACTCAGGAATTGCACCAAAAGTCACGACCACTATTTATGAAAGATCCGGAAGAACCGCAAACAAATATGCTACTGATTGTGAAACCGTTGATGAACCTGCCAGAAAGAAGCTTCGACTAGCTAAAGGTGAATCCGAGGTGTGTCTAGAAAGTTCTCAAGTTTCTGACACGCGCCATACCCTCTATAGCATGATCGGAGCTACTCATACACAGATGTACAATAGAATTAAAGAAATGTTGCAAAATGGTCAATACGAGGAAAAGATCGCCCCTGTTGATATATGGGATTTTGGGGGACAAGACGTTTACTATGTAACACACCAATTATTTATCTGTTATAGAGGGACATTTCTTTTAGTTTTTGATGGAAGCAAACAAATGGATGATCCATTAGACGTCAAATCATATTTGCCGGGTATTTCAGAGTATCCCACAACTTCTGGTATGATCTTAATTACATACATGCATAATAAAGATAGATAATAAAAGTCAGTCTATTCGGAACGTTTTAAGTACTATCATTGTGAATAAAGCACATCTTAAGGTTGGACATAACACTACAGGGATATAACTCTGTAAAAATCAGTTGAACGTTTAATCACTTTCTATTGTTAAAGAAATTTTGAGCTTCTGAATGACAAAAATTAGTGTTTGTCAAACTGCTATAGATCCAATGAAACTTTTCCAATAAAGTGTGTGGTTCAAGTTTTTTGAAATTTTTATATTTTTGTCAAAGAGTCAAAGTAAATATTTTGTCAAAGTTTTATGAAAATTAAACGAGCCAAATTAATTTTAGTCAAGGTGTTTGGTACCACAATAACACGACCAAATTTCATAATGTAGACAACATTTATAATTTGATTACTTGATATTTTGTGATTGAATATAAGTTTTGTGCCATTTTTTTTTTTAGAAATTTATTATAAAGACATATAATCGGAAATAAGTTTTAAAGATGAATCATCCTTACCGTACTCATATGATTCTATGATATGGTGAATGTTTCTGTAAACATTCACTGACTTTACGAAAGCGGCCTTGGTGTGATATGAATTCATAGGAAACTAGTTATATCTCTACATTCAATGTTTTATTATTTCCATACATCGATGCGATAACTCACTTTAATAATATAAAAAAAAAACTACATCAAAATTAAAATTTGCTTCAAGTGAAGTTATGTTATTATTTCAGTCTATCTTTTACATTGGGTAAATTCAATTCTTACATACTGCAAGAATACTAAAGATGGATATCCAAAAATATTATTTGTAGCAACACATAAAGACCTTCTACATCAGGTAATTTTATCTACACAGAGCATGCCTGTATGTATTGCGTTAAATAATAGATTATTTATGTTTATAGTTACAACATGTACAAAAGTGACTAGTTCAAGGTTTGATTTTTCAAATGGAAATAATACTTTATTAAATATTATAACAACAAATACAAGTTTTTTTTTTGTTTTCCATTTTAATTGTAATCACTTTAAGATATAAAACCACCTGAGGTATTGATCTGAAATGTCGTTCAATCGGAATAAGAAGCGTAGCCGAAATATTCCAGCGCGTTCGATCATTAAAAGAATACACATGCCGCAATATTTATCACGTGAATTTTATATGTTTTATATAGATCGATTCGTCCAGGCAAATAGACTTCAATCTCAATGTTTTGCTTAATATGCACTTTTGTCATTTGTACTTTAGAATAATACTTGTACATTTGATCAGTATTGAACTATTATGTGTTTATGTGTTCACTCAAAGCTGCATTATTCAAAACGATGTATTGGTTGTGTAGTGGCTAGAACATAAATGTATAATTGATGATTTCAATGAAATTATGCGTACAAATTTCAGTACGGATTTATTTGCTTACCTGAGAATGTTTATTTACCACTATAAATCAGTCAAACCTGTGTATAAAGTTATTCTTCATGACCAGACAACCTGGACATTATCAGACAAGTGATCTTTGAGTTCAAAATGCATAGGTCACTACTTTTTTTCAAAAAAGGAGGTAATTTGAAAAGACTGATGGGGCTAAAAAGAGGTTACTTTTATAGCAGGTTTGACAATTTCAGAAAGAAGTTAAAAGGGACAAAGTTATGAAACGCACTTATCTTAATATCTACAAAGATGACATATTTAACAGTGCTATCTTAAAAGTGGTCTTCAGAGGGTATACCATTCTAGCATTATTAAAAAAAAAATGATGCACACAATCAAAAACACATCTAGATAAGTCTTTAATGGCATATTTTTGCGTAGCTGTATTCTCACGGAAAATTCAGACAGAGCGCTGTTACAAGGTCAATTTCTGAAAAGTTAATTGTCATTTGTTTTAAAATTATCAATATGCCATTTAATAGTCTGCTCTGACTTGCTTTTTTGTAATTTTGCACGGTTTTACTCTTTTCCAGCACAACGTAGAGAACCGCAGGCGTGAGATAACTAGATCGCTGGAAATATTATTCCAGAAACACTCAGGTCGTCATCATTTAATTTTCAATCCATTGATTTTTGTTAATGCAACTGACAAATCCGATCGTGAAATGAGAATGGTTAAAGATCAGATTGTTAGCATTGCGTTTTCTCATCCAAAATGGGGTGAGCCAATGCCTGTTGCCTGGATCACATTGGAATTACAAATTGCATTGCGTGTTGAGAAAGGTGAATTTGTTCTTACTAAGGATGCATTAATTGCAATAAATACACATGAGACATCAGTGACTTTGAATGAACAAGCCCTAGAGACATTCCTGAAAATTCAAAATAGTCTTGGAAAAATTATTTATTTCAATGTGAAAAAGTTAAACAAATATATAATTATCAATCCGCTATGTCTAATTCAAGTATTAAAATCAATTGTCACGATAAGAGAACACTGGCCAAGTGGACCAGATTTTTCAAGAACACTACTTGAACTAAGTTCCAAAGGAATCATATCAAAGAAAAATATTTTTCAAATTTGGCAACAGCCTGAATTTTGTAACATTCTTCCATACAAAGATTTCATGATTGACATCCTGTGTCATTTAGACATTTTAGTAGCACAAAAAAGGTACGACAATGACACAGATGATCAGGTTATTGAAAGGTATTTAGTGCCTTCTATGATTACTACTCCATGTAAGTCAGAATGGATTCCAGAAATGATCTCGAATGAAAAAAGTTTGTGTTTGATTTACAACTTCGAAGAAGACATTATACCTACTGGTCTATCCTATCGAATTCTAAGCTCATGCCTTTGTATATGGGACCTGAAAATTATTAGAGCTGAACTTCAATTATTTGCAGGATGTGCAATGTTCGGAATAAACCAAAATCATGACCTCATATTAATTATAAAAAAGAAACAGATTATCATATACCTTGTACATGCATTTGGAAAGTCTTGCATAGTTCGAGATGTTGCAACGAGCACCCAAGAATGTTTATCTGTATCAATTAAGAAAATTTCCGACATTTTGAATTCCGCTGCTGGAACGTCAACCTCTGAAATGAATGATATGCCATTTAAGTTTCAAGTAAAGGCGTCCTGTGGTTGCTATGTAGACTATGTAAAGCTAAAAAATGCTTCAGGAGATTTCTGGCAATGTTCGCAGCATGAAACTAGTACAGATATAAACCAAATGACAATCTGGTTCGCAAAAGAGGTAATTCTGTCTCAATTTGTAAAATATTTAAATTCTGTAAATTCAGAAACTATTGTGAGGTTTTTATTAATGCAAATAACGCAACTTAATGATTATCGCAACAATAATATATATTTGTATGCAGATTTTCCTGAAATAGCAATAATTATTTTCGGATAATTGAGAATGGAAATGGGGAATATGTCAAAGAGACAACAACCCGACCAAAGAGCAGACAACAGCCGAAAGCCACCAATGGGTCTTCAATGCAGCAAGAAAATCCCGAACTCGAAGGTGGTCCTCAGCTGGCCCCTAACTAAAATTGTGTGCTAGTTCAGTGAAAATGGACGTCACACTAAACTCCAAAATATATAAATGAACTAAAATTAAAAAACACACTAGACTAACAAAGGCCAGAGGCTCCTGACTTGGGACAGGCGCAAAAATGCGGCGGGGTTAAACATGTTTTGTGAGATCTCAACCCTCCCCCTATACCTCTAGCCAATGTAGAATAAAGAAACACATAGCAATACGCACAGTAAAACTCAGTTTAAAAGAAGTCAGAGTTCGATGTCAGAATAGGTAACAAAAGAAACTAAGCAAAATGACAATAATACATAAATGAACAAAGGACTACTAGCAGTTACTGACATGCCAGCTCCAGACCTCAATTAAACTGATTGAAAGATTATGTCTTCATCATATGAAAATCGAGTACAATCCCTCCCGTTAGGGGTTTAGTATCATACCATCATAAAATATATGAGAAGAACATAACCCGTATCATGTCAACAACTGGTTTAGTGAAGTTACCTATTTTGTTGAATGTCTGAAAATTGCTTTCGAAAATGTGTCGAAATAGCATATTTTATGTTTGAATTCAGACATGGAGACTTTGTAATAAAAAGTACGAAAAAAGTACATGTTCTCTTTTAATATCCAAATTGATATTGAGTCAAAATTGTTCGAAAAGGCGATCTCTACTGTATCGCTTGGTACAAAAATCACTAGTTGTAAACTTTCGTAGCTTCATTTGCACAATGAATATCTTATATAAAATATTAATTGAGATTGCTCCATACTTAGCCCTGTGTTTGTTTTATTAAAGACTATAATGCCCTCTCATCAATTTCAGAGGATAGAAGACGTCTTCAAGTGTCGGCATGGCCAAGGTAGTTTTTCAGTAATGCACTTTTTGCTTATTATTTTGTATATACACTGTACATACACAAGCAAGGTCTATGACCTATATTGAAGTAATGATTAGTTAATATATCATCATAATGTGAATCAATAGTTACCTGGTAAACGAACGTTTGTTCCCTGCAAAAGCAGCACCATTAAACTACGGAATCATGTGAACCTCGTGTTGTTGTGGTATATGTTATACAGTAATTATTCCTCGGGTTGCGTAAAATATATTATTTATGTGAATGGTACATTAGGTATCGATAAACATCAATGTCTGGTGTCTGCAGATATGATGAAAATGTATATACAGCCCCCTTTGACCACTTTTAGTTCACCTGGCCCGAAGGTCCAGTATGAACTTTACCCATTACTTGGAGTCCGTCGTCCGTCGTTGTCGTCGTCCGTCGTCGTTGTCGTCGTCCGTCGTCGTCGTTGTCGTCGTCGTCCGTTAACGATTACAAAAATCTTCTCCTCTAAAACTATTGGGCCAAATTAAATCAAATTTGGCCACAATATTTATTGGGGTATCTAAGATATATAAATGTGTCCGATGATTACTCTTACCAACCAAGATGGCCAACATGGCTCAAAAAAGAACTTAAGGGTAAAATGCAAGTTTTGTCTATTGTTTTGAAAACCGCTATAAATAGAGAAATCAGACAGGACCAGAAATATTTAGAATGTTGATTTCTACCTACTATCTATTTACGTCAAAAACTGTCAGACGACATCAATTAAGAATTTTTGCCATTTTCAAATTTTTGCCTATTATGTTGAAAATTAAAGTAGATAGCAAAAATGATTAGCAAGACAGGATCTACATATAAGTCAACATAGAAAAATTTGGCAGAAGACTCCTTATTAGAGTTATTGCTTTAAATGACGATTTAAATCAATTTTTGCGTGCTTGCTTAATATCTTAAAATCTACAATAGATAGAAACTTAAAAAGGCAAAACATGATCAGTAAGACCAGTTCTACAAATAAGTCTAATGGCCGAATTCTTCACTTGACTCATTATTGGAGTTATTGCGCTTAAATTATGATATTTAAAAAAAATTATTATTTTTTTGTCTTTTAAATAGAAAAGTATAATAGATAGATTGACATTTAAAATAGCAAAAATTACCAGCGAGACAAGATCTACAAATAAGTCAACAGACTGAAATCTAAAGTAGACTCATTACAGTAGTTATTCCTCTTTAGTGACGATATTTACACATTTTTAGTATTTTTGCCTATTATGTTGAAAACTATAATAGATAGATTGAGGCTTTAATAGCAAAAATGGCCAGCAAGACAAGATCTACAAATAAGTTAAAAGGGTTAAACCTTCTTTGTGTTTTGGACAAAAGCTAATTTTTGAAAGAAGATAGAGAGAAATTGTAAACAGAAAAATGACCAGCAAAACAAGATCAACGTAAAAGAGATTTTTTTGTCATGAATTCTATTCTAGTCTACAATGTTGGAGAGTGTACATTGTTGAAGGTGTATATAGAACTAGCTGACCCAAACGGAATCTTTGGAGCAATACTGTGCATACATCAGTAAATAGCGTCGATACTAAAATGTACAATACCTAAGGGAGAATCAACACTATTAAGTCGATGATGGACAAATTAAATCATAGGGAAGAAAACGGAAAAGGACGAAAAGATAGATAACAGTCTTATATCTACAAAACACTACATTAAAAACTAAAGGAAGAGCAGCATGAACCCCACCAAAAACCGGGGGTGTTCTATTGTACTACGGATGGATAACATCTCCTGCTTAACAACAACGGTTATTTCTTAACCTCGTAAAATAGTTTGAGATTCCTTCCTTTTGCAAATTATCCTATCTCGGTATGGTGTAAAAATTAACTATAGGTCAAACCGTGTCTGATCACATACATAAATATATTTGTTTTATATATATCATATGCACGCAGCAATAGAACTGAATTACAAAAAAGTTGTTTACGCCATATTGTGATCTGCATAACTGCATAATATATTTTGTAATGTTTGTGATATTTCTATAGTTCTTAAAGACGCTGATTTGCAGCAATGTCCAACAAATAAGCAACTTGCACATCTGAGTAGAAGGTTAAGTATAAATAGCTGTAGAGAGTTAGCCAAACATCTGAAGGTTTCACAAGACTCAATACAGTCTATTTGGGATGAATACAGATACCATGTGGACGATTACAAATTTATGTTATTATGGAAATGGAAAGTCAATAACCGTCATACATCCCTACAAGATGTATTAAGAGCAATTAAATGTATCGATGAAGACGACCACAAAATGTGTCAGGTAATGTATTACAATACTTGCAATACAAAGAAAGCACAAAATGATCAATCAAAAAGACTAAAAACTAAATACCTACAACACAATGACAACGTACACTATAATGTTTACTCAATCGTGAAGGTAAAGCAGTTCCTTCTTTACAAGTTGCACCCGTTAGGTTGTTCTTGCCATAAAAAAATCCGGTAAGAAGTCGGTTTTTTGTTTTTGGCGATGGTAATACACACTAAGAGTAGTATGTGACTGTGATTAGGACAAACGAAACACACCCGTCATTCGTGACACAGATGGATGTATTCTGTAATCCATACGAAATATTCTGGAAATTAATAGACTATATTATTTGATAATTATAAATGTTCTTGACAGTTAATCAAATTATTTTACGTATTCTGAGGCGGATTTTTTTTTACAGATTTTTATTCAAGACAACTTTCCAATAGGTAAGACGCTTGTTAGATTCAGTTAACATAATGTTTTTACGGGAAAACACTTATTTTCCTGAACATTTTACATTTATTTCCCATGCCTGAGGAAAATATGAATATTTCTTCACCAAAGAAAATTCATATTTCACGAGGGCATCGCCCGAGGGAAATATGACTTTTCAAGGATGAACAAATCTTCATATCTCCCTAAGCCAAGGAAAATGAATGTCTTATTCTAGTGCCTTTACTTTTTTACTACCTGAACATAAGATATTAATTTACATATTTTGTTTCTTATCCGCTTGTTTTTATAACTAAACAAAACATAAACTATGATAAACAGTACCGATCATAAGTTCATTACTATTTCTCTTTTATTTTATAGATCTGAAATAATTTTAAAAACGAAATTGCATTACAAACTCTATATAAAAAAGACCATTCAAAACGTTATAAACATTAACCGCGCGTAACGTCGCACAAGGTCGTCCAGAGGGGAATATGATACTCGGAAGGTTTGTTCAACGTAACGTGAAATGATTTCAACCAATCAAATGTTGATTAAGCTATGAATATTGACGTGCAATGGAATGATAAGTTTAATAATTTTTTCAGGATAAGTTTTAAATAAGAGATAAGCAAAACCCAGTCTTATCGGAACAAATTTGTGATAACCAAGATAACCTTAATTATAGTATCTAGTTTTAGCCACTTTTCATTTATCATGTTTATATATACTTTTTTCAGGTATTGCTGAAATCGTTTTAAATGAAATTCCAAAACCATCATTTTTGGAGGATCTAATAAATCATATCGGCATTGAATCTTTCCAGTTAGCTATTGAACTTGATTTTGATATACCAGAAATTGAAATAATTCGTTTTGAATCTGATCGTAACATAAGAAATCAAACTCGGGAAATTTTGAAGCGTTGGATTCGTCGAGACGGTGCTTCTGTACGTTCTCTTGTGGAAGCATTGATCCACATACAGAGAGGAATGGACTGTGTATACAAACATTACAGCGACTGAAATAAATTTGGTAATGGAATGCAAAATAAAATGTAACAAATATCTTAAATCAAGTTTATATCTTCTTATACATGTCATATATTTTACGAAGTTTATATTTTTGAGGATTAATTGGAATAATTTTAGTGTATGATTTGAATATGATTTTCAACAGCTGGTGATTGGCTGTCCTTTTAGATTGTTAACCGTATCACCGACGTTTGCGAATTAGCGTAAACTTGAAATGTTTCTTTAGATCTAAAGGTCTGTTCTATTTTACTTTGGGATCTCAACCAAAGATGAAAAAGTAAATCTTCTTTCGCTGTATTGAGTACTTAAATTACATAATTTTTCAAACAACGTTATATTGTCGGTTCTTCACAGTGCGCAACGAACGTCTTTCTAAACTATTATCATCATTTGTATTGACATTTTCAATCAAGAATCGGGGTTATCTTGAAACTACCTAGTCTTGGAAGGGATAAATGATACTGTTAATTCAGAAATTATTGCATGCATTTAATAATGCGATTTTTAAAGAACGGACAGAAATGCGAGATTAATTATTGCGATTACAGAAAAATCTGCATACAGATATATTATCAGATATCTGAATGTGAGTTCTTATTATTGCGATACTCACCCAGTCGCATTATTCTCATTAATAAAAACATCACAATTATTTTTGAATTTACAGTGTATTGTAAAACAAACACATAAGGTTGCATATTTTGGCTTTAATATTGATTCACTTATAGGGTCTTTGCATCGGAATTAAACATATTTATTCTAAAACCAGTTGTTGGCATGACACGGGTTATGTTCTTCTCAAATATTTTATGACGGTATAATACTAAACCCCTAACAGGAGGGATTGTGCCTGATATTCATATGTTGAAGACATAATCTTTCAATCAGTTTAATTGAGGTCTGGAGCTGGCAGGCCAGTAACTGTTAGTAGCTATAGTCTGTTGTTATTTATGTATTATTGTCATTTTGTTTATTTTCTTTTGTTTCCTATTCTGACATCGGACTCGGACTTCTCTTAAACTGAGTTTTACTGTGCGTACTGTTGTACGTTTGTTTTTTCTACATTGGCTAGAGGTAAAGGGGGAGGGTTGAGATCTCAAAAAACATGTTTAACCCCGCCGCATTTTTGCGCCTGTCCCAAGTCAGGAGCCTCTGGCATTTGTTAGTCTTGTATCATTTTTAATTTTAGTTTCTTGTGTATAATTTGGAGTTTAGTATGACGTTCATTATCACTGAACTAGTATACATATTTGTTTAGGGGCCAGCTGAAGGACGCCTCCGGGTGCGGGAGTTTCTCGCTGCATTGAAGACCCATTGGTGGCCTTCGTCTGTTGTCTGCTCTATGGTCGGGTTGTTGTCTCTTTGACACATTCCCCAATTCCATTCTCAATTTTACATAATCAAGATGCTTAATGCCATGATTGAGAACATATTTGTTACGTTTGGAGGACATGTTTTTCAGCAAACAAAACAAAGAATAATAATAAAATAGCGTTGTCAGTTTATTTTCGACTTATGAGTTTGAATGTCCTTTTTGTATCTTTCGCCTCTCTTTTTCATTTAAGTTACACTAGTACTATAAAGACGATGGCCTATCACTGCATAATTCAAAGTTTGGTGACTATGTTGAACGCATATATCACATCGATCTTAAAATAAAGGATACAACAGATACAACTGCAGTAAAGATATCCTCATATCTTGACTTACCTCTAGAAATTGGCAATGAGAATCGGTTGAGAACAAAACTTTACGACAAAAGAGAAGATCATGATTATTTCAGCTTCCAATTGTGAATTGTCCGTTTCTTTACAGCAACATAAGTGAAAAGCCTGCATAAGGAGTGTTTATATCTCCCAGTTGATGCGCTTTCCAGATATTTCATTCCTTATCATGATTTCTTTAGTAGAGGTTTGCTGCTTACAGAGAAGCTGTTAAACCAAGGGTTCTAAGTGGTGAGTTTGATGGATGAAGTCATGCTTTTGAAACTTACGGTTGCCATCACGAGTTGGTGAATTGTTATTAAATATTTGTTTCACAAATGACGGCAGACATGTTACAAATGTCTATACAAATAATCCCATTCTCTTTTCCTCCAATGTGACATCACCAAATAAGACCTAATATCGAATTTGTACTTACATAGGCAACACGACGGTTGTCACATTTGGAGCAATATCTAGGGGGTTGTGTTGCACAGTCTTTAATTTTATATGTTGTGTTTATTAAGGACCTCCGAAAAATATAATTTGAATTCGAAATCACGAATTTAAATCGTTATCACGAATTGTATAATTCGTTGTATCAGATTAAATTTGTGATAACGAATTGATGGAAATCGTTATAACAGATATTTTAATTCGTTATCACATTTTTTGTAATTTGTGATAACGAATTAAGATCGTTATAACGAACTGTATAATTGGTTATAACGGATTATATTCGTGATAAGGAATTTGTGGAATTAGTTATCACAGTTTTTTTGCAATTTGTGATTTTGTATTTAAATTCATTATCCCAGATTTTTAGCTCACCTGACCGACAGGGTTAAGTGAGCTTTTCTCCTCACTTTGCGCCCGTCGCTGTTCATTAACTTTTACGAAAATCTTCTTCATGCCTGTACCAAGTCAGGAATATGACAGTTGTAATCCATTCGATTGATGTGTTTGAGCTTTTGATTTTGCCATTTGATTAGGGACTTTCCTTTTTGAATTTTCCTCGGAGTCCAGTATTTTTGTGATTTTACTTCATTGAAACCTTTTGGCCAAAGTGAAACAAACTTGACCATTAGCAATTTAATTTTAACGAATTGTATTTGAAAAATTAGCAAAAGAGATTGGACACTTAATTAGGGATATTGTTTGTTTTTTGTGTTTGTAAATGGGCGCTAAATGGACACAACTCAAGAACGGTAAAAGTGACGCCACCCAATTTCAAACTTGATCTGTGTTTTGTGTTAATAAACATTGTTTAGTAGTTCAATAACATTTGGTTGAGACAAACTAAATGTAGAGAACGGAAACGACGACAAATTTAGCACTAAGTCTTTGTCCATTTGTAAAGGGGCATAACTCAAGAACGGTAAAAGTGACGCCATTCAATTTCAAATTTGATCTGTGTTTTGTGGTAATAAGCATAGTGTATAAGTTAAATTTATAACATTTGGTTGAGGCAAACTAAAGTTAGAGAACGGAAACCAGTTTTGGGAACGTACGCGACGGACGGACTGGACTGACGGACAAGGGCTAGACTTAATGCCCCCATCGCCTAGCGGCGGGGGCATAAAAAAGTGTTAATTACTCATAATTCGTAACCGATACATTTTTTATTCATTATTTGTTATTTAAAGTCTTTTTAGACCGGCGATTTCCTTCGTGTGTATCGCCCATGAATATATTTTACACAGAGGCAACAGAAGCTGTTTTGACAACATGGTTTATCGAAGTGTAAAACCTAAGAAAGAAAATCTAACAGACCAATCACATTCAAGTATTTGTTGATATGCTAATAATTTAAGAATTATTTGATAATGACGAAAACTAAATAGGAGTGCATGTAATGCAAAAAAACAAACAACAGATATAAAGAAGAAGAACATAGAATATAATGTGCAAAAGTATATAAGGTTAGCCTGAAGTGAAGTGAAGTGAGAGAAATAAATTAGGGTATCTACTATACAGAATGTGTGCGATGAGCCCGCCTGCGGAACAACATGGCCAGCATGGCCAAAAATAGAACATAAGGGTAAAAAAGGGTCAATTGCCGTTTTCAATGATACGGAATTATTAGTAGATCTTTGCTTTCTCAGTGATCATTTTCGCTATAATAATTGATTGAAAGATTCTCTCTATCTATTAAAATTTTCAAAATAATAGACAAAACACAAAATAAAATAATAAACGTCAATAAAGGAAAATTATTCCTATACATAGTCATCTTACAATTTTGATGTAAATAGACAGAACTTAAATCTTGTGATTCTAAACAATTCTCTATCTATAGCGGTTTTTAAGATAAAAGAAAAAAACTTGCATTTTACCCTTGTGTTCTATTTTACGCCACGTCGGTCATGTTGTTACACAGGCGGGTTCATTGCACACATTCTTCAAACATGATTTATTTTTCTCGCTCTGTTTCACTCCAGGCTAGCCTAATCTACTTGTGCACTTATATTCTATTTTCTTCCTCTTTATATCTTGTGTTTGTTTTTAAATTACATGCACTCCTATTATGTTTTCGTCATTATTAAATAACTATATTATTAGCATATCAACAAATACTTGAATGTGATTGGTCTGTTAGATTTTCTTTCCTAGGTTTACACTTCAATAAACCATGTTACCGAAACTACTTTCGTTGCCTCTGTGTAAAATGTATCCATGCGCGATACACACTAATGATATTCACCGCTCCAAAAAAGACTTTAAATAAAAAATAAGGAATACAAATATATCGGTCAAGAAATATGAGGATTAGACACATTTTTTTTCTAGAGAGTTTTGGTGTGTAAACTGGGTCGCTGGCTAATAAACTTACATATCAGTTTGTGAGTTAACCCACCCGTTTACACGACAAAAATGTCTAGGTATAGTGTTTTTGTGTTTATATTTGTACACCGAGAAGACGTCACTAATGTTGTTTCAGTTTGTGTACAATCCCTTTTGCTAATTTTGCAAATAAAATGCGATAAACTAAATTGATTGTGGTCAAGTTTGTTTCACTTTGGTCAAAAGGTTTCAGTGAAGAAGATTTTTGTAAAGGTATTGAACAGTGACGGGCGCAAAGTGAGGAGAAAAGCTCACTTTACCCTGTCGGTCAGGTGAGCTAAAAATCTGGGATAATGAATTTTAATCCGAAAGCACAAATTACAATAAAAACTGTGATAACTAATTCCACAAATTCGTTATCACGAATATAATCCGTTATAACCAATTATACAATTTGTTATAACGATTTTAATTCGTTATCACAAATTACAAAAAAATGTGATAACGAATTTAATTCGTAATTACGAATTACAAAATCTGTTATAACGATTTC